TTTATTCTCTGGCTTTCAATACGGTGTCTTCCCCAAGGGTTCCAGTAGACAAAAAACTAAAAGCAAACTAAATCGTTTCTTTAATAAAGAGTCAAAGATGCTTAATATTTAATAGATAACTGGAACATTTATTTTTATTTGGTCTGTAATATGCCTCAAATATATAAAGAAGTAATAGGGAAAGTATGAGTCGATGAGTCTCTATATAACATTATTGTATACTAAGACGAGAGAGGGCTCATTATTACAAACAGTGTCATTTTATATAAAGACAGTTTTTTTTGTAAAAAGTATATTTTATTCAAGCACCGCTAGTTAGCTTGTATTTTACACGTATAAAACGTATCTTCCTATTTACCAACAGTTTTTCTTTTAAACAAGACTGCGACCATGTACCCATCCGTTTTCCAGCCATAGTCGAGCTCGATATTAGTATCTTTATATTCTATCGCACAAAAATAAAAATTAAAGAACTTGACCTTATTCAAAGGATACCTTCAGCATACCTTCATTGGGCTTACGACGCTTGTTTTTAACATGCTTAATATTAAACAAGGTTTTCCACAGCTTGTCTTGCCACACAATGCTCCCATAACTGTCTTTGAAGTTAGTTGACCCAGTGAGGACTGTTTCTTGCTACAAGCATCACCGTTAGTAAACATATAACTGAGATACAAATAATGCTTACTTTACGTGTTTCGAAGCTGTACTCTTCTGTTAAACATTGTGGCGGAACTGGGAACTTATTTTTGTATGCTCGTTCCAATAAATCATACATGCAGTCATTGCCACTGAATGGCGCAAAAACTACCAGCGATTAGGAGCATTAATAGGTTTATGCATACTCAGTAGCGACTCGCCGATGCTGTGGCTGGGTTTTGGTATAATGCTCCATGTTTTGACGTTATACAGTCTTTCCGTAAAGTAAATTCGCCTGTGATCGAAAATAAATGCACCCAATGGTGAGAACAAAATTCATGTTGTATGAAATGTAAATTCGTCGTTACCAAGAATATTTTCGTAGTATCAGCCTTGACATCCATGGATATACTGTATTTCCTAATTGAGATGTCGTATTGAAACCATTGTAATGTTATCAGAGTAATAACAAATACAAAAAGAATATGGCTCACTATCTCATTTAACAGTAATATTAATAGGTGGGCTGTCTTGGAGCAGAAACTAACCTAATATTAGAAATCGCCCTCTTTAGTCTCCTTGTAAAAAATTAAATTCTTTATTCGGTTTTTCCATGAAACCAGAAGAACATGTAGTCATATTTGGCAATGCATATTCTTGAATGGTTACGAAGCAGATTGCTCCTATTTCCTTTTTTTTTGTTTAAACTTCTCCTGGATAGTTATCGCTACCCTCCCCAGAATGCACCTTGGTGGTAAGTAAAACTAATATTAGGATATGTGCTCTAATACTAACATACTCTTTCTCTCTTTTTCTACATATACTCATTATCTCTCTCTCTTTTGATATAATGTCGCTTTATTCAAACGTGTTTTTCTTTGTCGTCTTTTTACGAAAATATTTTTTTTTATTTTACAACAATATTTTATAAAACTAACGTCAATAATTAATAAAAATACAGTATGTAACTGCTTCTTTTAACAACTGTGAGCTCAAACACAACGGTTTGTAGCTATTCTTCTTTGCATAGTCATAGTCAGAGATTTTTTCGTATTTTTCTTTATCAAAAATATCGATATATATTCCAAGAATTTTCCTAATAATCCATTCAAGTCGGTCAAGTGTGGAAATGCAACATTTGCTATGAACAAACGTGTAATATTGTTCGAAACTGTCTGTTTGGATATCCAAATCTTCAAACTTCTTATATTGCATTACGCCATCTGCTGATTTATTAGCTAGTATATTGATGTAAGTTGACATAAAGATATGGCAGATAAAAAAATTATGCATTGGCTTATTAATGGACCTTTCGTTGTATGCACTGTTTTGTTCTTCCTTTGTGTTCCTCAGAAAACCCAAAAAAAGCTCTATACAGATATAACCTTCCGTTTCTTGTTATGTGTATAGAGACATGTATATAGTATAATAAAATTATAACATAAAATGAAGCGATTATTTATAAATACTTTAGAGTATCGTGTCTGCGTAGCTGTTCGCAAACGTTATATGCATACAATCTAACATAGGAATATCGTAAAGATGTTCTATCGTAAAAGGATCAGCAGGTTATGCTAAATCTATCTTTTGTCACTAGCCTGTTGTTAGAGCACACTTTCTGGTCATATTGAATTTTTCATAGCATTCATCAATGACGTTAATGAGTTTTTCGGCATATCAAATGAGTAAATGTAGACTATATAAAAGTGGAAACTTACAATTCTATTGTTTAGGCCATTAGGAGCTTGCGCGACTATTCTATAGCAATGTGTCCAGAACTTCTGTGTTGTTGCAGGTGAAAGCTGGTCTTTTTTACAGCCTTTTTCAAACCAGTTACTTATAATAAGTAATCCTAAATTCATTGCATCTGCACGTAATAACGAGAATTTTTCTGTCAGCGTTCTCAGAATTTGCTAATAGTGTAAAAAGAAAAACGTATATGTAAGTAATAGTTCTATGTTCTTTTGCATTCAAAATTACGTACTCGGTGCTCTTTATAGTCTTGATTTAAAAAGGAGGGTACCTTACACTTCCGAGTAAAGTAGCTTTTATCAGGCTGTAATGAAATGCCTTCTGGCGAAGATTCAACTTGTGTTTTTTTGTCTTTTAGACTTGGGTGTGGAAGAGGATGGTGTTGGTCTCTTGGCTATATTGAAATTGAGCACAGAGGAAAGTGATTCAGTGTAGTGGATAACTTACGTGGCATTTGGTTAAATAAAAGAAGAGAAGAGCAAATTCAACAGCTTTAACAACAGTATTTATGTTATTGTTGTCAGGTGTGAAGTATAGCTACTGATATGTAAAAGTAGTAACAACAATTGCATTTTGACAACAAATCAAAGGAGTTTCCTTTGCTATACTAGAAGCAGTAACCATCTCACGGCACTTTGTTTATATTAACTCATGACAGTGGTCATGTAGGCTTTACCATCTCTTTCACTTCTTTTATTGCCGTTCAAGTAACTTTTGGGTACGTTATTGTTGTCTTTAGTGGAGAATTAAAAAAGATGAAACGAGAAGTTTGATAAGCTTCATGATGAAATCAACTTTAAATATGAACGACTCATCATCGTCAATATCGCTAACTGTTTTAGGTTGCTTTCAAGACCCTTATCCATATTTGGTCAGAGAACATTCGACTTTCACTGGAAACACAGCAAGAAACAACACTGCTTATAGGGGCATGATAGACGCACTGAAGGGTTTGATGTATGAGAAACCAAAGGAGGCTATTTACTCAGAGGCTTTTATAGCTCCAAAAAACTCTTGGTGAGTATAAAAAGCTTATGATGTACTTTTTTGAGATACTATCTTATATATGACAAGTTCATACATTGGTCTACTGCCTACTAACCACAAGTTTTCACCAATATGGAAACCAACAACAATACTGAGAGTTGGCATAGCCAATTGAAGACGGACTATTTACAAAGAAAGAGGAGTAGAAGACTGGATCGCTTAATCTTTATCTTGGTTGAAGATGTTCATACAGATTTTATGCACAATATCGCAAGGATGGCCGCTAATATCGGACGTATGGGCTCGGAGACTAGAGAGGCGGAAAAGAGAATGATTGCAGTAGAGGAGATCAATGAGCAGCCATTAAAAGATATGGTGCAGAAAGTGTATGTCGATGAAAAAGTTTTCTATAATGTCAAGTTTTTCACGACAGAAGTTGTGTACGATATATCAACTGAGCAAAGGATGATGACTGCTTGTAACTGTATAGACTTTCAGCGAAATAGGCGTGCCTGTAAGCATATGTATTTGGTTTATCGCTTCGATAAAAGCTGTGTAGTTTACAGCCAAGGTGGATTGTCACGATGGTAATAAGAGAAATGCTAATCTAACTTGAGAATTCATACCATGGATAATATTTATCCAGAATACTGTGTAGAATAATCATACCGAAGTAGTTACTGAAAGCTCTGATGTGCTTCAATCAGAAGTACCATCTGAAGCTGGAGGTAGAACGGATGAGTTGTTGACAAGCATCACGAATGTATGCAGACAAGCTTTAGAAAGTCGTATATATTTAATTTCTGCAAATAACAACAGACTGTTACAAATATATAATGAACTAAGACAGCTGTTGCCAGCTACTGAAAAGATGCAGCTTCTATAAAATATAAATATGCAAACACAAAGAAGATAAAGCATAAAATAAAAAAAATTCTTATTCTTTTTTTGAAACCATACAAGTCAACCATCCCAAGTTTTAAAGTTCAGAAAGGAGGGCAAAATAAGGGCATGCAAATAATAACTATACGTCATCATAGTCTTTTGCCTTTTCTATTCCTAGCTTCTATCCTTAATCCTACACATCTTCCCTTTCTCTTGCTCTTTTTCAATGCTTTTTCACTCTGCTATTCTTTAAGCAAGTCACATTTTAACGAATCTGATTGGGTTAAAATTTAGTTTACTCGGGAACAAAAGAAAAAAATTTGTTTGGTATAAATTGGAAAAGTATTCCGGTAGACGCTTGTTTCCTTCCCTTTTTATAAATCCAACTTTAAGGTATAGTACATCATCCATCCATCCATCCATCTCAAGCCATACTCATATCAGCTTATAGTCACAATGGGTAAGGAGAAGACTCACGTTAACGTTGTTGTCATTGGTCACGTCGATTCTGTAAGTACATAAAAAATGTTGTTAAATTTGACATTTCGACATCTTACACATGTTTAAAGGGTAAATCTACCACTACTGGTCACTTGATTTACAAGTGTGGTGGTATTGATAAGCGTACCATTGAAAAGTTCGAAAAGGAAGCCGCCGAACTCGGTAAGGGTTCCTTCAAGTACGCTTGGGTTCTTGACAAGCTCAAGGCTGAACGTGAACGTGGTATCACCATTGATATTGCTCTCTGGAAGTTCGAAACTCCCAAGTACAACGTCACCGTTATTGATGCTCCCGGTCACCGTGATTTCATCAAGAACATGATTACTGGTACCTCTCAAGCTGATTGTGGTATCCTTATTATCGCTGCTGGTACTGGTGAATTCGAAGCTGGTATCTCCAAGGACGGTCAAACCCGTGAACACGCTCTTTTGGCTTTCACCCTCGGTGTCCGTCAATTGATCGTTGCCATTAACAAGATGGATACCACCAAGTGGTCCGAAGCTCGTTACAACGAAATCGTCAAGGAAGTTTCTTCCTTCATCAAGAAGATTGGTTACAACCCCAAGTCTGTTCCTTTCGTCCCCATCTCCGGTTGGCACGGTGACAACATGTTGGAAGAATCCAACAACATGCCCTGGTTCAAGGGATGGACCAAGGAAACCAAGGCTGGTAACAAGACTGGTAAGACTCTCTTGGAAGCCATCGACAACATTGACCCTCCTACTCGTCCTGTTGACAAGCCTCTCCGTCTTCCTCTTCAAGATGTTTACAAGATCGGTGGTATCGGTACTGTCCCCGTCGGTCGTGTCGAAACTGGTGTCATCAAGGCTGGTATGGTTGTCACCTTCGCCCCCGCTAACGTCACCACTGAAGTTAAGTCCGTCGAAATGCACCACGAAACCCTCGCTGAAGGTCTTCCCGGTGACAACGTCGGTTTCAACGTCAAGAACGTTTCCGTCAAGGATATCCGTCGTGGTAACGTCTGCTCTGACTCCAAGAACGATCCCGCTAAGGAATCTGGCTCTTTCACTGCTCAAGTTATCATCTTGAACCACCCTGGTCAAATTGGTGCTGGTTACGCTCCTGTCTTGGATTGTCACACTGCTCACATCGCCTGTAAATTCTCTGAATTGATTGAAAAGATCGATCGTCGTTCCGGTAAGTAAAAACATTAGAGCCAATCAAATTGCATTATTAATGGGTGATTTTTGGGGTGCGTGTAGGTAAGAAGCTCGAAGATGCTCCTAAGTTCGTTAAGTCCGGTGACTCTGCTATCGTCAAGATGATCCCCACCAAGCCTATGTGTGTTGAAGCTTACACTGACTATCCTCCTCTCGGTCGTTTCGCCGTCCGTGATATGCGTCAAACCGTTGCTGTTGGTGTCATTAAGGCCGTTGAAAAGGTTGACAAGGCTGGTAAGACAACCAAGTCCGCTGCCAAGGCCGGTAAGAAATAAATTTCTTAATGCTGTACATGGAAAAGTAGAAAGCACTTTTGTCTTAAATAAAAAAAATAATCTTTGAAAGTGTATAAAATGGTTTTTTTGTATTATGACTTGTGTTTATTGCTTCAGTTCGAAGGATTATTTAAGTGAAGTATGCAATGTAAAGAATAGACTCTGTCTATAATATTCTTTTTCGCAATGACAATGGAATTATTGGTTGATATTTTATAATCTATTCTAAGCTAAGTGCGAACGAAACTGTTGAATTAACAATAGTCTCTGATGTTTTTGAAGTTACAGTTTAAATAACTGCAACTAAAGGTGACTCCATTTGAAACAGGTTGAAGTTCTTGTAAAAAAATGGTTGATCTTGTGTGCATTCCAATTCGATGACTTGTAGGAGGAAGTTCCCAGGATATCGAAACTTGAGAAGTATAGAGATGTGTTGCTAATTGCTTTAGTGTGGGATACTCGATGGATCTTTGGATATTTTGCTCGACGCACAAGTTACACTTTTGTTTCGTATACAAGCGATCTTGATCCCTAGTAAGTGACGGCGTATCACGACACCTTAGTTGCTGTAAAACTGATAACGCTATATATAAAAGCAATTAGTGATATGAATAAAGTAGACAGTCTTGAGTCAAATCTTACTAGAAGCAACAGCTTGAACGATAGTAGTAAAAGTACGATGAGACTGTATGTATCTTTATTCGGAATAAAGAGAAAAAGGAGATGGTAGTATAACCAATATTTATATATTAAGACACTGTAGTATTTAAACTGCATTGACTATATTTGATTAAAGTGTAACAGATCCTATAGTAACATTGGGTTCAGCTTCAGGTATTATTATTTAAGCACTGAATAATAAAATGAACGCTACAGGGCGCCTTTGGCTATTATCATGAATAGTATTTAATAAGGATGTTTCAATTATTGTAATATTAAAAGCTTGCTGTTTAGCCCGGTGGTTGTATGACCTGCATTATCTGTGGTATCTGCGTCGCTACTAGCTGACAGTTGCATTTGTGCACGAATTTGAAAACAACTAGTTTTTGGTATTCAAAAGGTATACATTTATTTATAAGGTTGCTAATATTACAAAGGACAAATAAAACATCAACTCTTGCGCTACAGACCATAAAAAGCACAGACACCTCTATTTTTCCGGACTATCAACATTTACAAGAAGAGACTTAGAGCCAAGCGAACAAATCTGTCTAGAATTGGTCCTTTCATATACTTTTGCATTCTAGGCGACAAAATAAAGTCTACAGACTGTCTGATGTCACGGCTTGATGCACCAATATGAGCAGTGAATTTGCCGGAAGGAATAATCCAGGACTTGGAATCAGTATCCCAGATACTCAGTTCAGTTGACGTCAATTCAAATTTGACCTTTTCCTCTTTACTTGCCTTGATAAACACCTTTTCGAAACCACGTAGAAGCTTGGGTGGTTCATTTGCGCTTTCAGGGAAACTAAGATAAAGCTGGGGGATTTCAGCACCATCAAGATGACCTGTGTTTTTGATTGTTACTGTGGCAGTGACTTTAGTAGATTTTTCAGATGCTTCGACCTTGACTGTGAGGCCACTATAAGTAAAGTTGGTATACGACAAGCCATGACCGAATGGGAAAAGAGGGGTAACATTATGAGCATCAAACCATTTGTATCCCATCAAAAGCTTTTCTTTGTAAACAACATTATGGGCAGAATCCGGTTTGACAGGATAGTCTGAGGCTTTCTTGGCAATGGTATATGGGAGACGACCAGAAGGATTAACCGTGCCAGTAACAACATCAGCAAGAGAGTTTCCAGATTCTTGTCCAGGAAGGCCTGGCCAAACAATAGCCTTGATATTGGGATGGTCAATCCAAGGCATCAGGACAGGTCCTACAGAGTGTATGACTACGACAGTATTCATGTTTGCATCAGCGACGGCTTTGATCTTTGGAAAGACAGTGTGTTTAACAATCAATTATCGGAAAACATAAAAAATACTTACTAAGTTATCTCCATTGTTCCATAAGCTAAGATTGTTACGATCACCAACATTGCCATCTACAACAATAAATCCTTCTCCTGAGTCAGCGCTCGAAAATACAAAAGCAACATCAGCATCCTTGGCAGCAGCAGCAGCACCGTCAAGGTCCCAGTCATCTAAGGACTTTGTAAACTTGACATCTTTGCCCAAAGCGTTTCTAAGGCCAGTGATAGGCTATATTAATAGAGTTAGTTTGATGGCTATAGAAAAAGAAATACTTACGTCAACGAGATATGGGAAGACAGCAGTACCAGATCCCCAGCCTTGAGCGAGGGTACCTTTATTACAACTATGAGCGAGACATGCATTAATACCACTAAAAAATAATGTTAATTCTACATCAGAACATATGCAGTATAAGCTTACTCTGGGTTGACTGCAGCATCACTTCCTACAAAAGCAACCTTCTTGACAGACTTATCTAATGGCAGAATTCCGCTATTTTTCAAAAGTACAGTAGAGGCTGCACCCATTGAACGGACCAACTTGTAATGATCAGATTGAACATTGACATAAGATACTTTGTCAGGATGGAAAGAGTCAAGCGTAGTCTTGGGGAAATCTTTATCCTGTCCAAGTTTATACCAAGCAGCGACAATACGAGTAGCCATATCTGTCACGCGAGACTCTGGGACTTTTTTGGCGTGAACGGCATCTGTCAAGTTTTTACCAAAGTATGAACCGCTAGAACCGATAGTGATATTACCTGGAATAAACAAAAGAGAAAAAACTCAGTAAAATGATTAAAAAGAAACAAGTAGTGTTACCTGGCATGTTCATATCAAGACCATGATTTGCCGAATCAACGGTGGACATAGTGGCTAACCAATCTGATTGGACAAATCCTTTGAACCCAAGTTCACCCTTTAAGACAGTGTTTAAAAGATAATCGTTCTCGCAAGCAAAGATTCCGTTGATTTGGTTGTAACTACACATGATGGAGCCAACGCCTGCTTCAACAGCACGAGCAAAGGGCCAGAGATATATTTCATGTAGAGTCCTTTCGTCGATATCAGATGACCCGGTATTTCTATTAAGTTCTTGGTCGTTTAAGATGTAGTGTTTGGCAGTAGCAATGACACCTTGACTCTGGATACCTAAAACAGTTTCTTCAGCGAGAACACCCGTCAAGAATGGATCTTCACCGCCTGATTCCCAGCCACGGCCACCTTCAGGAGATCTCATAAAATTCACTGCGGGACCCAGTTGAACATTAGCACCCCTTCCGCGAAATTCTTGGCCCATATAAACACCACGATCACGGATGGCCATTCTATCAAATGAGGCGGCGGCATTAATGCCAGCAACACCAGAGGTTACGTTGTAAGCGAGCTGAACACCAAGTGGAGAATCTTGCAAGCAAAGAGAGGGAAAATCAGGATTGCTGATGGCAAAAGTATTACCTTCACAATGGCCGCTTCCAAAGCCAATACCAGTAGTGATATTGACCTTTTGCTCGAGAGACATTCTACTAACCAAGGCCTTTGCCATAGTATAGGCTTCATCCCAAGAACGAAGATTGATTTTGGGTTCAGTTGGCTTTGCTGAGGAAGATACAGCCAGTAGTCCTATGGTAGTAGCAGTAAAAAGAGAAAGAATATGCATACATCAAACAATTGAGAAAGAATTGATTCATTTTATAGTTGCATCTGACCTTAATTGTTTCTTATTACTGTCTTTCCTTATCTGGAAATAAAATCAGACATACGTTGTGCCTATCAATGTTTCGTTTGGTGCCTGCAAACTCTAGTTTTATTAATAGAAAGGATAATAGGAGAAGTATACAACAGCATTTCAGGACATTAAAAAGTATTAAAATACTCCTATAATAAAAAGTTTCATCTTACTTGGACTCCTTTTGCTCCAACCTCATGCGTCATTCCTGCAGCCAAATATTTTGGTCAGTATTTTCCCAGAGCATGACCTCCCCTCAATTCTGCAGCCTCTAATGACACATTGCATAATGAATTAAATAATAAATATGAAGTAATTGTTTATTGATACCTGACCTAAAAGAGAAAGCTTGACATATATAATAAATATATGACATAACGATGTATTTAAGCGTTAATAGACAAGATACAAGAATAAACATTACAATAGATCTAAAAAAATATGCATCTTAACAGATTGATTCTTCAATATGAATTCAGAAACCATACAAGAAAAAGCAAGCAATCAATACACACCTGATTCTCCTTTACTTCTTTGCTGATCTCCAGTGTGATTAATCAATTCTTTATCCTCTGATTAAAGAATTCTTTGTTGAATTTCTTCTTTTCAAACTAGTATTGTAAACCAAGTGTACATATGCAAATGATCAGTTCTTAAATACAATATACATAACAAGGTAGGATTAGACTGAAAGCGATACAACTTGGTAAGACGCACAACCCCATCCGTCTTTGTAGATCTTGCGCCTGTCTGGATTGACGTCCATTTTGTTCAGTTATGCCGTCATGATAGCAGATTCTTCTTCCCCAGGAAAATAAGACAAACAGTCCTTCATCAGGACAACTATTGCTTTGAAACATAGGAGCCCGTGTATTATATACAACTTCTGAATGCGACATAGATAGCCGCTTTTCGTAAACTTTGACCCTAATCCAGATAACAAAAATTAATTTATGATTCGAATGATCCTATGATATTCTACTTACATTGCTAGAGGAGCCTTGATGAAACAGTAAACGACCTCGCTGCTCTCTAATAATTGTGATCTCTCTAAAGCCATCGATACCAACTTAAGAGTAATAAATAATAACATTCTAGATAAATGTCATTTAACTCGAGAACTTGAATATCAAGAATATTTACAGCAGAAGTGGTCTCACTAGTGTAGTCTTCCATTTCGATTCAGGCATCACAGTTCCACCCCTTGACTGCTGTCGGAACGTATTAGCCAATAGAAAATCATAATTTGAATAATCGACTGTTAGCGCTTTAGAGTATTTCTGACCTACCTCTTTTTTTCCCCTGGTTTGGAAATGCAAAAAATTAGAAAGCGTAGTACGAGTTAATTTTGGTGCTCCCAAATGACGGTAGCAAAAGACTACTTAATAAGAATATAAGCTTTTTCATCCTTTTTCTCTCCACCAGTTTTTACTGCTGTTAACTGACAAAAAAACACATTCATTAATTTATCAACCTTTAACTGTCTATAAAAAGCACACAAAAATCTCAGCTTCTAGTTGCTTAAAATTAACCTTTTTTTTCTTTTTCTTTTTCTTCTTTACAGATACCCCTTGCTTTTTTTCTCCCTGTGACGATGCTTTGTGCTTTGGCTCTGTTCATCCTTTAGAGCACTGGACACACTCTCTGTTCACGCTGTAATCCTAGTACGGTCATATTGGTGATTCAAGTGACTTGCAGATTCTGGGCTGGCTACATCGTCTGGGACCAGGCCCTGTTATGTGATTAACCGCTTTGCCCTTTATCTGTGAACAGAGAAATGCTCTCTAAGTGTGGCTGCTCGAATAAATGCTTATGCTGTTACTAGACGGTATCGAACCAAAAGCTGCTTTGGGTAGTTTGCTGAGTCAAAACCTTCTTCTGAGCTTGCGAGACGACTGGTAGACGAGACTGAGCCGATCCATAGCTACCTGTTGGCAGCCTGTCAATCCAGGCTTGTTTGGGGCTGTTCAGCTTGTACTTTCTAAGCTTTTCAGATGTTTAATTTCAGTCTTGATACATCACTCCTTTTTATAAGGTATACACACCCTTGACATTCAGTGTATACCTTTCTTTTTTTGGGATCACATGTACTCTTATCTTCCCGTGGTTGACCCTGTTAATCAAGACTATTATTGTCTTGAGAACTGAAAGGAGTACGCTTTTATTATAAATGTAAATGACGCGCTTTATCTTTTTTAATACCACGTAAAATGTTCTATGGCTACTATGACAAGTACATCTTCATTGATGCACATATAATTACTCATTGCCACTGATAAAAGTGAAAGAGGAAAATGCTTTTTGATCAATAGAAAAAGTTGTGTGTGAAAGTTAAAATTTCAAGTGCTTTGTGCGTAATACATTAGCCTTGTTCTAAGAATCAAGTTCTGTTCAATGTTACACTTGGAGTGCAAACAAGTATAAAATGGCTGCAAACCACCTTCTTGCAGTTAAATAGAATGAATATACACCGTAGGCTTGTGTTATTTATAAATTGGTATTGTATACTTGCGTCTATTGTTATTGCTACTCCATTACCTGGTCGCATATATCCTGGTACATCTCTATACAATAAAAACTACTACTCTTTTGATACATGTTTCTTTTTTTTACAGCATGTGCATATTTAAGCAGCAAAATTTATTGCTTTGGAGGAGCTCTAGGTCGACTTCCAAATTCTACAGACCCAAATATCTACTCTCTTAGTTTAGATTACAGCACCCCTGTATCCGTCAGCAGCATGAACGCAAACTGGAAAGAAGTCCCTCTTAACAACTTTGACCCTGAGAAAAGATACAGTCCTCAATTTACAGCACTATCCGACAGCAGGAGACTGTTCATCAACAGCGGGGATGCCACACACTTGATAAATCAAAACATTGTATTCGATTCATATGACAATACTTGGCAGAAACTACCAGACTTTTCTGATGATAAACAAAGGTATGCTTAAACGCAGATATTCTGGTATTTAACATATTTATAGAGCTAATGGATGTGCAGTAAGTGTGCCTTCAAATACAGGTGATACTATTATTGTGTTCGGTGGTCAAGCGATAGAAGTGTCCCCAATGGTTATTGGAAATAAAACGTAAGAGAAAACATATACATGCCAGAAAACACTCCAAAACGGTATACTGTAGCAGTGAGTCTCATACTGGTCTACCTTTACTCAACAGCACAATATATTACACTTCATCCCAGGTAAATAGGCTGTTTTGGGTAACAAAAAGTCATTCTTATATATTTATCAAAGACTTGGGCATATCTTTCACCGCAAATCAATGTACCACTCGATAAGATTCCTTATGAACACTCGGCAACGCTTCATCCAAGATCAGGTATTATATACTACTTTGGAGGAAGAAATTGTGATAGTAAGGGCTATTATTGTAACGTTGCCAGTCTCCAATGGGGATTCATTTTTGATACCAAAAAAATGATGTGGGGTCGAAACAACTACACTGCCTCCGTCGGTAGTCGGTTTCCTTCGGCTAGAAATGGATTGACAACTGTACTTGGTATATGCAAATCTAACATGTTACTACATGATAATAACTTAAATGTAGCACCTGATTCTCAGCATATCGTTTTATATGGTGGTCACAATGATTCAGAAGGTAAAAGGAGTATCGAAAAGAAGGGCGTATTTTGACTTTAAACAGCTGTTCCTGATATTATGTATACTCTGAACCTCGATAATAACAAATGGACGCAAGTCAACATAGGGACTGACAACAGCGATCTTGCAAGGTCTTATCACTCAGGTACCTCTGTCTTTCGGTAGCTTTTGTTAAATATACTTAATATACTTTTAGCTGTTCTAGTAAATACCACACTTTTCATTCTTTTCGGAATGAATAGAGATGCTATTTTTTCCACAACTATACTTGCTTATAATGTAACCGATGTATCAAATATACATCAACTTGATTATTACTCTTCTGGTGCAATCGACACAAACACTACTCTAGGTCAGCCTAGTCCCTTAGCTTCTTCCGTACCATTGTCTAGTCCCAAATCTTTATCAGCAGGGGCAAAGGCTGGTATAGTTGTTGGATCAATTGTGGGCGTAAGTCTGTTATATTAAAGAAGAACATTCTTTTACTCACTCTGCTCTCTTCAGGCAGTAGCAATCTTCAGTGCGCTCTTTCTTCTTTATCGTAAAAAGTCAGCGAAATGTATGCAGTCAGCAGTTCAGGATCCAGATGAACAGTCAATGGATGAAAAGAAGGATTTGGATTGGCACAATATTGAGCGTCAGTACTTTGAACTCGATACGCCTTCTACAGTAGCAGTGGCGGAATCTCTTTATAGGATTTCTGCGGATCAGCAAGTGTTATCTCCCAATGCCAATCCAGACAGCACATACACTGTTTCCAAAGCTATAGATAAGTCACAAATGCCAAATGTAGAAGCAACTCATACAATGGAAGGTTCAGCACAGACCCCGGATGCTGCAGCCTTTTATATAAAAGGTTTATTGCAGACGCCTGATACTGTAACAAAGTAAATTTAGAATTGAGAACAGATTGCTAGACTGCAACTCTAACGTATAGCCATACACATACTTTTTTTTATATTATTAAAATTTGATCATTGAACAGTAGTATGCCATTGTACGGCTCATTTTAATAGTTATCATTTATTAATGAGTCGAGAAAAAGTAAATCCTTATTGACCGAAATTAAAAAGGTGGCCTTTATTTTATTTTATTTTTGTTTATACAAGTTTTATATCAAACGAGTGTCCCCAAAGAGCCATCACATCCAGCTTTTGAATTCTCCACAAAGGATCGACCGCTTACAGCAATGATATACGGCTGTATCAGGACCATGTATGGCAATATCTTTTTTCTTCATTTGTATTAGTACTTGTTACATACGAATTATTTTATTTGAGAAAATAGATTAAAGAAACATGAATAGCCGCATCTGAAGAGATTGTTAAAATTCGTAAAAGCGACAAGGTCAAATCCACCATCTACAAGTACACATAAAGAAAGCTGAGGATTTTTTTTTCATATTTTTTGTACTGGTGTGCGAGATAAAGAAAACTGTGCGGTTATCTGGTGTATTTTCATGGTAACGTGTATTACTTGAGATGGAAGATATGTCTAGCTCAGTGGCTGCTAACTTTACTATCACCTGTTGTAGATCACCTTCTTTTTATTAAAGAATGAATCCAAACAAACGATTTATACAAAAAATCTCGTCTTTATTTCAATAAAATAACAAGTTTATTTATATGTTTTTGGTGAAGTTAATGGTTATCTTAGGGAATCCATTTGTTCCTGTATACGGCTCCAATATAATTGATTCCTAAAAGTGAATGTCGTGTTTTTCAAATTTAGATATCGTATTGAAAACAACAGATCAAGAAACTCATTTTTTCCATTGTAATGTTACCAAAGTAACAGCAAGTACCAGTGAAAATGATTCACTAACCCATTTGATAGCGATATCAACGGCTGAAATTAACTTAATGTTCAAATTAACCTGAGTAGTTGTCGCTACCTTCCCCCCAAGATGCATCTTGGTGGTAAGTAAAACCAATATTGGAATATACACCTTCTACATGCATATATTGTATATATCTCTCTCTTTTGACATGATATCATCTACTTCATTAACAATCACTATTACTCTTATATGAAAAACCATTTTATTTCTTTTTATCAAACATATTTTTCTTTGTTGTCTTTTACGACAATAATTAATGAAAATACAATAAAGTTGTCACAGGAAGACATAAGTTTTGTCAGTATGTATACACCAATGAGCCTGCATTTCGCATCGATCTCAGAGAGAGCCATACTTTGGCCAAGAAGAGAAGCATGAGTAGAAAGAGTTGTACATAGGGCACAGGCTAACACGACAGTTAGCTTGAACACTATATGACCCTATAACATATCTAAGACGCAAGCCTAGTATCTATACGCCCTTTAAGAGAGAAGATAACAAGGTTGTTCAAATTGAATTAAGCAAGCAGTATCATTACCAACCATCACTTTATCTTTTGGAGTAACACTCTAAATGCCCTGGATTGATACGAGTTCTCGGAAGAAAGCTGCATAATCACGGACAGCATACCTACTCATAGAGTACCAAGCATAAGAAAATTAATTGAAATTAATGGTATAACATCCTCCTTATTTTATTTCCCATTGATCAAAACTCAGTCAGACAGAATAGGTTTGATACTTTTGCAAGGAGCAAAATTAAAAAGACAAAACTGCTGATGTTACGATGTTATGCTTTTCGGTGATATACAGTGCTTTTGCCGCTACTCGGTATCTAGAGTACAAAGCTGTTTAATAAACCTCATTTTGTGCGCCAAAGACTCCAAAATAGGCGTTCATGTCACAGTTATCATTAGCTTACACTATTGTTGCATCTTCTTACTTTACTAAGCATCATTTGGTGAAGAGCTGATAGCTTTTAAATTTACTCGTACCAGCTATCAAGTTCATTGTCACTTTGTTGTTTATGTGCTTTATTATTATCAATAAAACAGAAAGGCACTCCAAATTTAAGCTATTACACAGTCAACATTGCTGATTGTATTAAAGTAATACGATTGTTCATCAAAACGTGTATTCTTAAATTTCCATTTTGAATAACAAGTTTAATAATGCTGCAAAAATCATAAAATTCATGCCTGATTTACCTGTTGACATGTAATTAGTTATTGTAACCTAAAGATGTTACAACTCCTTCTAAAAAATGACAAAGAACAGCTGGTATAATTTGCCTTGTTCCTCCCTCTTTTTTTTTCTTCTGGACCCTTTTTATTCAGTCAGGTTCCCTTTTACCCTTGTCCAGGATATTTGGTTACACGTGATTTTTCTTTTTTGTTCTCTCTTTACTGCATTATTACATGTGCATAGTAAACAATGCTTAAACCAGATGACATACATACGTCTATGAATGCAACTGACTGATCATGAAATAACCGCTTCTTTGTTTTCGAACGATATCCCTGCCATTTCTTCCTTTTTATCTCAATGTAACATGAGTTTTAATATGTAATATATTACTTGATATTATTACTTGATATTACCTATGACCCTAAACTTATTCAGTAACGTGTAACTTGAGCTGCAATGGGAAAAAAAAAAGATAATGAAGACATGGCAACATTAGCTCACGCATATAAATACTCACTGGACATCCTGACATCAAATCGTTATCTTTACACTTTTCTTTCCCTTATTCTTCAACATGCTTACTCGTACTTTCCTTGGAATGGCTATATCTGCCTTTTTGGCATCGACTGGTGTTCAAGCTGCTTGGTCCTCTCGCGGCCCTAATGTCATGTACTACTGGGGTCAAAATTCTGCTGGTGGATCAAATACACAAGCATCCTTAGGCACTTACTGTGAATCTGGTCAAGTCGATGCCGTCCTCCTGTCCTTCCTTCACGTCTTTAACGTTGGTGGTATCCCTGAGATTAACCTTTCTAACGCCTGTGCTGGTACCTATTTTCCCAATACTCAGCTACTTAGTTGCCCTGCTGTTGGTGCTGGTAAGTGTTAGATCTTTTGTTGTCGGAATCTCTTAACATTTCTTTCTTGATAGATATCAAGAAATGTCAAGACAAGGGCGTCAAGGTCATTCTCTCTCTTGGTGGTGCTGCTGGTGTCTACGGTTTCACAAGCGATGCCCAAGGACAACAGTTCGCACAGACGATCTGGAATCTCTTTGGTGGCGGAAGCTCAGACACACGTCCATTTGGCGATGCTGTTATTGATGGTGTCGATCTTGACATCGAAGGTGGCTCATCTACGGGTTACGTTGCTTTTGTGAACGCTCTTCGTCAAAAGTTCTCCAGCAACTTCCTTATCGGTGCTGCTCCTCAGTGCCCCTTCCCTGACGCCATTCTCGGCAGTGTGTTGAACTCGGCTAGTTTCGACTACGTCAATGTTCAGTTCTACAACAACTATTGCTCTGCTACTGGTTCCTCCTTCAACTTTGACACCTGGGATAACTGGGCCAAGACGACGTCACCTAACAAGAACGTCAAGATCATGCTTACGGTTCCTGGCTCATCTACTGCTGCAGGCAGCGGCTACGTTCCCATGTCTACTCTTCAAACTATCGTTCCTTCTCTTTCTTCCAAGTACTCCAGCTACGGTGGTGTCTCAGTTTGGGATGCCTCTCAAGCCTGGAATAACGGTGGCTTCAACTCTCAACTCTACTCGCTTGTCCACAGCGGTGGCTCCACTCCTCCTCCTTCCTCTTCTTCAGCTACCAAGACAACAACAAAAACGACAGCAACAAGCACCAAGACGACGACTACGACTGCCCCTACTGCTACCAGTACACCTGGCAGTTGTCCTGTTGCCAATCAGCCTTGCTCTACTCAAAACCAATATGCTTGTACAGCCGATGGCAAGTACGCTGTCTGCGACCATGGCAAATGGGTTGCCTCCTCCTGCCCCTCCAACACTGTCTGTATCCCTACCACCGATGGTACCTCTATCTACTGTGGTTATGCTACTGGCTCTGGCAGCACTTGCCCTTCAGCCAGCGCACTCGAAGTTACAGCTGCTTCCTTCGGCTCTAAGAATGGTCCTGTGCCTCGCCCATACAAGGCTTCCAAGGTTGCTGCACAACTCGCTGTTACTTCCACTGACAAGAATAGCTTTGAAGCTGTTATCAATGCTCGTCGTACCACGCTCACTCCCTTTGAAAAATCTGTTACCATCGAATTCACTACACCCTCCAACATCAAGTTTACCGAATCTGATATGGGCCCCGTTCGTCAAGTCGGCAACAAGGTTCGCATTCAAGCCAAGAATGACTATAACGAATCCATGACCCTCGTCGTCAAAGTCAAGGGTTCCATCAACTCAGGCGTCTTTGTGGCTCCCAGTACTTCTGCTTGGAAGTTTAAATAAATACTGTATTAGATAATAAAAAAAAAAAGTGCAATAACGTTTTATTGTACGCATTAAAGCAGATTTATGTAGTATTATATTATTAAAATTATATTATATATGAATTAAGTGTGAAAAAGTGGTGGAAGAGCGTGTGGGTGTATGTATATTATATATATGTATAGAGCAGTGTCATAGCAATAATTTACAATGTGTGTTTTGCGTCAAAAAAATCAAAAAAAAGGGGGGAGGGGGAGTTTGTACAAAAGATTCTTCTTAAAAGTGGAGTGATAAAGGTGGCGTACTATTGTGCTTTGGCGTTGCTGCTATTAAAATACAAGAGTTCAGTTTTGGTTGTTTCTTATTTTTATATATTTACCTTCATTCAACTGCTGTTGAGCAGCAGCCATGGCCATCTGCATAGCCGTAGCCTTGTTTGCACTGGATGTACCATTCACGACAGCAGCCATGTTGGCAGCAATCATACCATTGGCCATGGCCACTGCTGCCTGTTGAGGCGTTAGTTTCGTACGACTGGCTTGACGTTTGATGGGAGAAGCAGTAGGTCCTATTTGATGGACAGGCGTTGCTGACGGTGACCGGCTAAACCCTTGTTGAAGAGGTTGCGGGGAGGAGGATGGTTGTGGTTGCTGTTGTTGTTGTTGCAGCAGCTGCTGCTGTTGTTGTTGTTGTTGCAGCTGCTGCTGTTGTTGTTGTTGGGCTGCCGCCGCTGCAGCTGCAGCTCTAGCTTGATTGATCATATTGAGTGGTGTTAAAAAAGGAACTGTCATAAGATTTCTAAGCTCTGTCTCAGACAGAAGCTGTACTCTATGTTTGAGATATAAGCTGCTCATTTCATCAACGACCAATTCATTTCCATCCTCATCATCTGTATCACTATTGTCTGAGTCAAACCGAAAGCGATCATACGTAGTTTCTTGCAGCTCTCCTGGTCTTGTCTTTCCGCCAGTGGGTCTGTAGCGTGCAGAGTACCCGCATCTGTCAATAAAGATGCGACCGCCACGGCCCACACGTTTCCGGTACCGTGTACGTGATGGTTTGTTCGACAGCGATTGAAAGAAGTGGTGTGGTGTAGATAGAGGAAAGGGCTGATAAGGGTCTTCTGTGACATCCTCGTACGGTAAATCGACTTCCTTTCTACGAGCCAGTTCAGCTTCAATGGCTAATTGAGCAGGCGACTTTTCGATACGAATATCTCGTCTAAGCTTATGCAAAGGTATCTTGATAGTAGCACTATACACAACAATAAGTATACACAAGGTACCTTTTCAATAATGTTCACTTACCCAGAAGATCCACCGATTGACACTTTGCGCTTCTTCTTGGAAGACAGATGAATCAAGTCTTCATCTTCTTTAATACCCAGCTTGCGTTGGTAATCTTGCAGTAAAATCTTTTTATCAAAGACGGCGTGCTCCAGTACCAGGCTTTCCTTTCGAATCTTTTCACGTCGTAGGACCATTTCCAGCAGATTACGAGCCATTTCCATCTCAGACCGTAGCTTACGTAACCTTTCCAGCGACTGTTGATCTGTACGTCGTGTCTTTCGCACAGGCTTTGTTTCACGACGACGAAAACAGATATAAGGATCAAGTTCGTTTTTCACAGTCTCTTCTAGCTTGAGTTGAGGGACGATGGCTTTACCTCGTCTCTCTAATCGGCGTTTTCGCCAGTGTTCAAAGACAACAGGAAGACTAGGACAACTATTTAGCTTGGAGTAATCAGGCACATGTTCTTTGAATGTTTTAAAATCAGGTGTTTGCTCAGGATCCTAGTATAAAAGCGTGGGTTGGATTTTTGCAATTAAAAAAAAAATAGGGAGACATACCAAGTACAGATGTGGCCAATTTTGATTGGTTATTGACTCACACTCGTTCATAATACTCTCAAACGTATCTTCAGAAAGTGGTTCTCCAGGATATTGCTTATTATATGACTGTAGAAAGGTATCATCCTCTTCGTCCATGACGTAGGGACAACCTATACAGTCCTCCACAGTTGATGAGAACTTGATAAGTGTTGTTGACTCTTTATATTTTTTCTTGTAGAGGGCATTATATTCATTGTCTGATATCAATCGAGAAGCATCAGGAGTAGGGATGTACTTTTCTATGGTCACGCCGGTTGTCACAGCCGCTTGCGCAGCAGAAATAGCAGCTTGGAGGTCATGCTACCAATACAAAAATAAAAATGAGTATGATTCGTCGGATAAATGATTCATGTATAAATTGTATTATAAAATAAATCACACTTTTTTAATACAAGAAAAAAAACTCCCAAATAAAGGACTATAGTAAACCTACCTCTTCCTCCTCTTCTTTCTCTACACCTGTTTCTATCTGAGGCACTGCTCTTTGAATGTTTGTAGCGTCCGCCAAGTCAGGGAGTTCATGTTCTTTGTAAATAGGGAGAGGGTGTTTGGGTGAGAGCTTTTTCACTCGAAATCGAGACACCATCTGGTTTGTCATTCTTGAGATCCGTAGTTGAACTTTTTTTTGTTTTGCTATGCTTTTTATAAAAAAAAATAGAAGTCTCTCTACAGCAAGCAAGACTAAAAAAAAGAAGCTACTTCTTTAGTTCAAAAATAAAACTTTTTTTCTACTAGGGTTGCTTTCTATTTGTTTCCAAAAAGATGATTTTGGGAAAAGCTCCTTCGGAAATTTTTTGCCGACGTCATTCGTCTGAGAATGAATATAAATAGCATCATAGTGAAACCAAAAAAAAATAGCAAAGTCAGGCTAATGCAGAGAAGCAATCTTCAAAAGCTTGCCATGGAGTATTAATATCACTCAAAAGGATACTGTTGCACGACATTAAGTATTATTGAAAATATCATGTCTTCTTTTCGAGAGTTTTTCTCTTTTCATTTTACTCTTACAAACAGATCATAAGTGCTCAATAGAATTTTAACCCAATATAGAGAAAGACTCCCTTTTTGATGTCATTATTCTTAGGAGTGGACGCGTTATTCATTACAATGCATCAATCTTTCAAATCGCGTTTAAAATATCCATAATGTATATCTAATTGCAATTGTGGTCTGTGGACAGTACCTCTAGTTTTAATGGAGTACATAACATGATTACTTTTCCTCAGCAAAGATTTCAGATCAGCCATCAAAACCAATACAGAAGCAACAGCTTTTCCAATTCATTAGAAATTGGTGATACTTTCAATCATATACTTACCACAAGTCCAATATACCGCCATTTATCCCTTAATAATTATGTTTGGACTATTGAAAAATTAAGCCTCAGTCCACTGGTGCCATAGGTTGCTTAAATATCATCAACTTTGTTCGATTACATAGACCTGAGCGTGTATTAAGACCATGTATACAACAGTCATCGCATCCATATGGCTGGATTAAAGTAGCCATCAAGCGGCAGATTAGATAAAATATCATGAATAATGGAGTCGCCATAAAACCATGGCATTCAAGCATACATGGATAACTACTTGATAAGTTATGAAATAAGCCGTCAAGAAAAATTCCGAAGTCAGTGGTGTAGAAAAAACTTCGCAACTTACAAATAAAGCGTAGCAGAATCATTCGTTTATATCACGACGACTACTCTCTTTTAGAATTTCTATTATCACCACTTTGAAAAGTTTATTGGTGATCTTTAAGAAGAATAACCATATGTTGATCAGTCCATTCTCTACAGCTGAACATTAAATAGAACAGTATCAATGTCTGGGTAGCCCTTGAAGCTCTATCCACTGCTACTTGATTTATCTTGCAGTAAGTGACTTAACCAGACCGGCGCCGTTTTGGTACATTATTCATGCGCTTTTGATCACAGTACTGGTATCCCAATTCAGGCCGGCTTCTTTATAGGTGGTAAATCTTTCTGCCAAAGCATTCAAGGAACAAGGCTTGAAACAGATGGCGTTGGTATTTCTATATTGAAGCAAGATTTTGATACAAGATATCGACAGAAGAATCATGAAACTACACCAGACTAACCTAGTGTTCTGGAAGGATCAAGCAGCAAGAGTACGAAAAAACAAAAGCAAAGGGAAAAGTACGTCAAAAAAGTCACAGCCCAATAGTAAAATGAAAAAAGACAAATTTACCATGCTAACCATCCGAAAGTGATGACATTCTTGTCTTTTTTGACGCTCTTTGATCTTACTTTGGGTCCATGCTTCGTCTGGCTTTGTCTCTCGGTTTGCCTATCACAGCTTTGATAGTCAAATCCTACCGTTACATGCAACTACCGTCGGTTGACAATTTCACTACACACGTCAATGAGTAAGGGAACCTCAATCCATAATGTTTGTTGGAGACGGAAGATTGTGCGTCGATTCCCACATTAAAGAATCCTTTACCTCAGTCTTCCCACGTTTCGCTCCCGCTTTTGGCAGTGTGCCATGCACACGGCTTTATATTATCTGTATCACCAACGGTTCCCTTCACAACAGCTGCTTCACCGTTTGATTTCCTGGTTGCTTTGAGAGCCTCTAGTTGTCCTCTATGTTAACAATCAGAGTCTGAAGAGCACTTTGTGTGATCCTTAATCAAACAAACGGTATGGCGATCCATTTCTATTCGTGCTTTCCCACAGCAACTGCCAACGTCCTCACAAATGAACGATTTTGCTGTCGATCAAATGACAGCTACTGCTTGAATCCTCATTAGAATCTGGAGGCTTCAACGGGAGCTTGTCGTTGATGACGATTGTGAACATATGCTCATCTCATTAGTCTAGGGACTTTAAGGTATAAAGTAAGCAGTATTGTCCATGATATGTAGATCAGAAAAAGAAAAAAGAAAAAAGAAAAAAAAAAAGGAATATACACGAGCACCAAGGTTCTTATCAAGCATAAAAGACAGCAAACTGCCCAAGATTGATTGACTACGAACACCATTAAACGTAAGTTTTATATCCGTCTTATTTTAGGTCAAGCGACTGTATGATTTACTCAAAGGAGAGACAAAGGGATGAGACAAGAGGTTGAGAAAGGGAAGGAGTGGGATGGGAGAGGAAGGGCATATATTATATACATATAAACTTTACAAAGTTGTTGAAGGGAGTAATATGAATGAGTGGAATGGGGTGTTGAGAAAGGTATCCTAAGAGAGCGAGACGGATTTACTCGATTCATTAGAGATGGTAGTACCTTGTTTTCTTATGGAGCCCGGTGGCGTTAACTTGCTGCTATTACTTGTTTGCACTAATTTTTAATCAGCAAAAAATGGCTCTATGCTGTCATGTATACACTTACATCTAGATTGCATAGTTAGCTGCTCGATACGTGAAACTGAATTTTCCAAGCATGCTTTCCATTTCATTTGCTCTGCTTTACTGGGCAGTTTCATGATATGTACTGTAGGCGATGCCATAAAGGTTGTATTGAGCGAATCCACGCCTTGGAAGGAGGAAATGATTTCGATACAGTAGCCTTCTTCGTTCACTTCATCTTTTGGAAGTAAGCGTATCTTTGCTCTTTCCAATTGAATATGGCCTTTGTATTGTAAGTTGTTTTGCTTTCGTCTGACATAGACCAGCATATCAGAAAAGAGGAAATAAGTCCTTTCTTCTTGTGTGTTTGATTTGGTGATTTGTATAAAATCACCCTGTAAATACAGTCTACGTTCTGCCCTGATGCCAAATGGTTGATCCGTCATGGTCGTATGTATCTCGTACACCTGATCGACATTTTTAGCTTCTGCAATTCTACATTCACGCAAGCATAAACAAAAGGGAGAATGTTTAATGAATCTATCATTCGTTTTACCTCATCTTGAACTCCTCAAACAGTTGCTCTACGCGTTGCTTACATTGCATCAAGCCAGCATAATCAGGGTGCAAAGAATATGTACTGTCCGCCAAAGCAGAAAGTAGTTTTCCATAGCGTGGAATACATGAAACAGGCGTTGTTAGTAAATGCAATAAAGTTTTTTCTTTAGTCAAGCCCTTTTCTACTGACTAAATCATTTGAGTATATTAGTCAAACTTGAACTATACATGTGATTCCTGTCAGTGTTTACCTCTGAAAACTTTTTAAAAGGCGGATATCGATTTAGGCGTTCGACTGTAGTGACCATAGTACTGTAATTATCAAAATAGGTGTGATATGCTCCTTGAATCTTTGGAAACTATACATGTGGTAATAGGGTCAGGATAGTCTTGGTTTTTTTTTGGTTTTTTTTATACCCAAGTGAGTACAATGTCGGACATGATCTGTGTCGGACCCCAAATGGCTAGACTAAAATAAAGTAAAAATGGTTATTGAAAAGCAAAAAGACACAAAGGGAGAGGCGGGATGATCTTACCGCTCTTCTAGGCTTGTTAAAATTTCTTGATGTACACGTATGATGTCTTCAAAATTACAAAATAGCCAATTCGTTTCTCTTTCGGTACAAGGAGGCTTTTTCATGCCCAAAAAGCCATATGAAGGTTGCTTTGCGCTTTTACGCAAAGGCAAGATGTATGAATCTCTAAGGACTTCTAATACGTTTTTTATGTACATCTTCTCTGAATTATGTAATTCCTTAATAATCGACTCTCTCTTTTGATGCATCATCTCTTGATCTTAAATAAAAAAAGTATAAGCCCATATACCATCCATGACACTTGTATTTACCAATGAGCCCATCGTCAACATCATCATAATCCAAACTGTCAATAATATCAAATTCTACATGGTGATTTGATGTCATCCAATCAGGTGTTGCAGATGCCCCTGAGCTTGACATCTCACTTAATCTTAAACTCGAAAGGTTACTGCTAACTGCACTGATAATACTTGGATCTGATTTTCTAGCAGTAGACTTGTCAATTACATTATGCTCTGTTTCATGTTGTCTTGAATAATTGGTTCCATACATTTTCTCTTTTCCTCTTTCTCTATTGTTAAATGAGTGTTTGGGTATAGTTTACGTTTAATAAAAGAGAGAGAGAGAGAGAAAGAAAAGAAAGAGAGAAATAGAAAATGAAATTCCCTCTGTTTTGTACTTCACTTGATCGTCGTCACGTCGTTATACAAAAATTGCAGTTACCCGACGAATATGCGTGCAGCCTTCCCTTATTTTTGTATAACCAACTGTTTTTTGAACTACCGCATTACTGTAAAGCCTATTACTTTTATTATGTTTTATTTTTAACAAAAATTCTAATCACACCAAATGGATATATGAATCATCCTCTACACTAAGCAAGAACACGTCTTTATAGCAACTGCACTTTCTCGATTCATTTGTTTCCAAAGTAACCATGGCAAACAAATCTGTCTTGATTTTGGGTTCTAGAAGCTCAATTGTCTATGAAACATCCGATTACATTGCCCTATTAGGTAACATACATTGATACCTCAAGTGCCTCAGTGCTCTCGTTGTCATAAAAAAAAGACCTTCACTTTTGAGTTAGTAATCTCAATTTGATTTTGATTTTTTCTGTTGATAATCATTGGCTTGAAGCATTTGACATTTGTCCTTTTTCTTGCGTTTCCCTTTCTTCTTTTCTTCTTACTTCCTGCAAAATACATTTTGTTATTTTGTCTTTTAAAGCCTTGTATGCCTTAAAAAACCATAATCATCTGATTTTTTTTATGGTAAACTGGTAAAGAGAACCCTTTTTATTCTGTGGTCGTACAAATGCTTTCCACACAAAAAATTTTTAAGTTTCTTTCTGTACGTTTGGCAGCAGAAAGCGGAACTTGTTGATTCAAATCACAGTTGCGGGAGTGGAAAAGAAAGGATTATTGAACTAACCAGCATTTGTATAAGCCCTGCGTTTGACGATTTTGTAAATACTTAAAAGATATATTAAATATAGTTAAAGAAAATATGAGGTTTATCACTATCTCTTTAACAGACATTTCACATGTAGCAATAGCATGCGGTTAGTTTATAAAAGAGATAGAGATAAACAGATCAATCACGTATCATTATAAACAAACAATTACTATCACATCCAATTAAGGCTAGCTTCAAGGAGGCTATTTGAATTTATGTACAACTTGAACTAGCGTATTTGTTAATCTTTGGGCAGTGATTTCTGAATGAAAAAGTTTGTTGATAACAGCACTAATGGAAGTGGTAACAAGAAGAAGCGCTATCTGATCCGAGCGAAAGTGGGTCTGATTAAAACGCATATAGTCTATTTATCAACATCTGTATTTTCGTTATATTATTGATTATCTTGAAACTACAGATAAGCTATCGGCATGGTCAAGGCTTCCGGTTATCCGGGGTGTAGTGGGCTTGAGGCGTATATCAAAAAGTTACACAGACGCTGCCGCTAAAAGTCAACAATATCTATGATAAGGTAAGCCCAGTTTATATAGATAACGCATTCGAAATGATAGCATGCATGATAGATTGAAAAGGTGGGTACACTAAACACAATTTGGAACCAGCCAAGAAAACATCATTAGATGTGATTAGGTTACAGCATTGTTTCTTTGTTATTCACAGATTAATCATGTTCTCTCTCTCTTTATAATATTACGCTTCCCAGCCATTGCATATAATTATGAATACGGCTTTCTTTTGCATTTAAGGGTACTTCTTCATTGAGTAAAAGATTCAGATATCATTCAGGAAATTAGTGGTTAATATTAAACTTGTTCCTGTTGACTCTTATTAATAATATAGCTCTGTATTCGCTTATATACTCTAATAGTTAAAATATACGCTATTGACGAATGAGACAGTTTGGTGTGCTATTGATACACAGCTCTTTTAAACTGACGGTTGAAGCAATTCGATTGAGTATTTATAACTATACCTATTTGATGCAAATAATTGAATAAAAGTATCAATGTACGATTATGTAACTTTTATGCAGGGCCCTTACAGCTATGCTCTTACACATCTCAAGACAGACGAGATGCAGAGTTACCTATCCCAATTCAATAATATTATTATCAGCTAAGAACAACTGATTAACGATTATGATACTTGTGTGTTCAGCTATAGTTCTTTCAAGAATCATGCCATTCAAAAGATTATTTGGCTACTCCATCAAACCCAGGTTAGATATTGTGTCAATAAATTATAAAACAATGTGAAATCGTGTATTAATACGTTTCTTACAAATGCCTCACGGTGACTTCAATAAATCCAGTATCATAGTTAACAATGGGGTCATGATCTTGCTTGTCCATGCTTGTAAAAAATGTCTCTCAGGGTTCTACAAGAGATGTTTTTAATTGATGTAATGTCTACTTCATCAACGTTAACCAACAACTTGATGTTATTGTATAAGTATTCAATATCTTCCAGTACCGATTTTAATGATCGATTGACAATGCTCAATTGACCAACTCTAGTAATTTTATATTTTACGGGTCAGGCGTTAAATTGCTGATCGTATCTACATAAGTTCCAGTTGACTCAAGTCGGGCTCCAGATGTGATATAAATGAAGAAGTGCTGAGTGTTTGATTTGGAAATGGACAACGGGTAAACAATAACTTCCAATTGTATCCTTTTATTTGTGTAAATAAGAAGTGGAGAAATATATAAATTATTAATACACGACAGCAATATAAATCACGTTGTAGCACATATTATCAATGTGATGCCACTCTGTTTACAGACATTCTTTTATATACAATATAATTTGGACAGGTACAAGTTACAAATATAATGTATTGTTCATTTGATACTTACCGAGACGTTAAGGAGTGCACTGCCGTTATAGACAGCGTATTAAATCCAGGGAGCACCATTAGTTTATTGCAGGTCTTTTGAAGGGGAAGTACTTTCATTGCCATGCTTTGATTTGTAAACAAATATATTTATATATTTAATGCATTGTTCGCATTGCGATTCCACACCGTACCACAAGATTCACACTTGAGGATAGCATGTACTCTTCGCTTTGATCCAGAAACAGAGAATTTGTTCATTTATTTCATTTTACACTTGTTACAGATATGACTCGTTAAATACTCGTCAACGTAAACAAATTCGGTCCTCTCATCAGATCGTTTGCATTTTCGTTTGATTTCTTCAGTAATACGTCTGGGATGCAGCTCGTTTTCCTTTCATACTTGAGCTCAAAGAACCATTTCCGAACGCAATGATTCGCTTCGGCTGAGAGGAGGAGGGGAGGTCCGCAGGAGATAACTGTAGTTGGCCTTGTAATATTAATTAATGATTGACTACATTTTGTTTAACCATGTTTTTCTTAATAATAAAACCTATCCTGGAATGAAAAGCTCTCTGTTTTTGACGCACTGCACAACTTACTGCGATCCACTTCTATTAAAAACCGACGATTAAAGTAGTTATCTTTATAAAAATGACTGACAAGGATATTAAAATGACGCACGATGACCATGGATCATCATCGTAATTATCAGGAACAGTAGTCGAAGAAGTAACGGTAAAGAAGGAAAATGAGAGACACAAACTCTAATATCAGCTGTGCATTCCATGTAAAAGTAAAAACACATAATGAGCTGGCATATATCCAGCATGTGTCTGGTTGATACGCTGAAAGCGTTGCTCAAAATCACGTCCATGACGAAGGCCATCATTTCTATTTCTGTTTCTCAAGGTAAGAACGATGTCACGGAAGCTTCTGTTGCTATACTCAATAGGAATAGCCGCGGCAACTTCTTCTATTGTTGATAAGTATATTTTAGTGATTTAGTGATTAGTGATGAACTCTTTCAATGCTTTTTTTTAAGTCAATATCAGTGCTAAAACATGACAGTAACGAACATTCAATTTCCACAAAGTGACAATGTCCACCGTTCTCACTGTATAAGAATCTATCAACAAGTTTTTCCGTTGCGGTTATTTGGATGTATTAGTAATCAATAGCTGAAGATACACGAAATTTGGAAGTCATTATCACTCTTGTGAACATGGTTTGTTGTATTCAGGTTATGGCGTAACTTATTATATGATAGAAAATGGCGTTGTGACTCACTTTTAGATGAGTATCGATTACTGATCTTTAGATATATCCATCCCTTCTGCATTCTCTATATCTCTCTACATCTGACATATCAATAGAGTATGTACGTTTACTAAAGGAAGAGCGTGTCTTATTGGGAAAAAAAAATTACGGCATAACATTGGCTTGAAAGCAGAGAGTAAAAAAAAAATGCCGACAGCTGATGAAGCTGAGAAAACATTTACACGTCAGCGTAAGCAGTTTGCATTATTAATACAGTACCTTCTCGCTCTTTCTTTCTTTTTTTTTTAAAAAAAAACTTTTTCTTTTCTCTTTATTAACTTTATTATCATGCCTATACTCGAAGTTTATTCCGCCATTGCACCCAAGGACTTGAAGTCCTTTATCAAACGCCTAAGTGCTGTCTTTGCCGAGCAAATTGGTAAACCTGAAAGCGTAAGTGAATAAATACAAGTTGAAAACAAGACAATAACCTGTCAATAGTTCTGTTTGGTCACTTTTAGCAAAGTAGACAGCCTTGTATTTAATGGTACAGATGAACCTGGTTACCTTTGTAAGGTTATTTCTATTGGACACATTGGTAATGATGCAATGATGTGAAAACAAAAAGACTAACAAGAATAATAGAAAATGATCGTAATTCCAAGTTGACTGCTGCCATTACTGCTGAATTAGAAAAGGAATTGGGTGTTTCTGATAATCGCGGTTACTTTGCCTTTAGTGATATTGCTGCTGAAAACATTGGTACAAGAAAAACCACATTTGCCAATATTGTTCGTGAAAGACAAAAATAAACTTTAAACTCCGTCCAGTTTATTTCTCGGTTAAAAGTTCTTTTACTTTATTGACAACAAAACAGAGCGTGTTCAAAAGAGCAGAGTGAGGCAATAGGCTCTTTAGTGAATACGCCACATCTTTTTTTGTTGTTGTTGAAGAGAGTCGAGAGTGATGAAAAGGAGCCTCTGTCTTAATTAACAACATTCGATATCTTAATTTTTTGTCATTAATAACAAATACGAATTGGCAGTACGAATCACATAATTTCATACCGCAAGTAATCTTGAATAGAAAAAGTGTAATTTAGATTGATTTCTGCGTAACATTGGAAATATAAAGATGAGTGCAATGTGTCCTTTTTTTTTTTTTTCTTTATTCTTTAAACAAAAACCTTCAACTCCTCCCATTCCCTTTGTTTGTTCAAAACAATGCGTTTTACTCATTCCTCTCTTTTCACTTTGACTTCAATTGTGACAAGCTCGATTGTCTATCAAGTGAGCTCTGCTCCTGTCTCTCCTAGTGATCTTGCTTCTCCTGAAAGCCCATCTGTTGCTCTCAATACTTTATCTGGTATGGCCCTGGCTGGTCAAGGGGATTCCAACAGACCGATCTGGGCCAAGAATATCGAGAAGAGAAGCAAGCATCATAAAAAGCATAGTAAAACTCACAAAAAGCATCACAAAAAGACTACAAAGAAATCAAAGAAGTCATCCTCCCATAAAAAAAAGACAACCAAAAGAAAGACATCCAAGAAGACGACAAAGAAACACAAGACAACCAAGACAACCAAGAAGGGTGGCTCTGGAAGCAAAGGAGGACAATCATTCTCTGGTGATGGTACTTACTACACACCTTCATTAGGTTCTTGTGGTCTGACAAATAGCGAAAAAGATTTGGTTGCTGCTTTGGTAATTATATTACACTCATTAATAAGAAAGGTTTATTAATTTACTATCGTAGAATGCTCCACAAATGAACAACCCTGCCAACCCAAATCTCAATCCAATCTGTGGTAAATACATCAACGTTCATGGTCCCAAGGGCTCTGTCAGAGTCAAGATTGTTGACACCTGTCCTCCCTGTAAGGTTGGTGATGTTGATTTAAGTCCTGCTGCTTTCGGCAAGATTGGTAACTTTGTTGATGGCCGTATCCCCATTAGTTGGACCTGGGCATAAATAAATAAAATATGTACTTTTATTTGACGCTTCTTAATTAATTACAGTTCTTCAACAGTGTGTCATCAGATCATATAAATATTTCCTATTTCACAAATCACCGTGTCTATTTCAAGATGTGGCTGATAATAACATTTTATTATAAACTCCTATTTTCTTGACTCTTTTTCTTTATTTATTGATCCATAACAATAGAGACAAGTAGCAATAAAAGGGAGCTAGCAATGCTATGGATGTAGTTAAGGTTTCTATGGTTACTTCACTTGTAGAAATCAGAAAAAAGGAATAATGAAAATTATTGTTTAATTTTGAGTAACATTAAGATTTCAGGGAGCTGCATCGTTTATGTAACCGGTCCGTTCGCTCTCGGACGATTTCATGAAAAAAGGAAAACGTGTCCCAGTGTAGCCACTCCTTTTTTTCCTTTGTTTACAATGTCACATTTTTGTAATAAGTAAAAAGCCACAAAATAAAGCACAAAAACATGCTTTCGAGAACAATCTTTATTGAAAACAGGTTGTAAAAGGGCATTCTCTGACGAATCATTAAACAGTACCTGCTTTATTACTGTTCATGTGTAGATAAAAGGCGTTTCTTGTATGTGCGTGTGTGGAAGGAAGAAAGCACCTGATTTATGGTAATTAACCATATTAACATGAAACAGAAGCAAGTCATTTACAGTTATTACATAGTTAATTTTTATGAATGATCTCTCTACTTTATAGAAGCCTTTCGATCGCTGAAATGCATCATGCTAAACTCGCCGACAGATACTGAAATACATTTTATGTAAGCAGTGTTTGAACAATTTGATTCGCTTTCCTTTCTTATTTCAATCACCACATTTTGTTAAACTGTGCATATGAGCATTTTTCGATGTTTACATCTTTCATCTTTTTGACACTCGACTCGAGGCCCCCCTTCCTTCAAGGGAACTGCAACAAATAGAATAACCGGAAGATGAGTCGGGTTGTACCAGAGCGAGGCTGGTAGAACCCAAAGATTCATAATAGATGCACATTAATAGATGTACATTTTGTCCTCTTTTTTCGTGTCCATCCTCTTTTTTTTTTTTTTTTTTTTTTTTAAAAAAAAAAGATCTCCTACAACATGCTTTTGACCATATGATTGAAGCTCATGCTAATAGCATTGAACAGATGACGCCATAGCTATTATTCAGATATAAACAATCGTTTCCTCTCTTTTTTTTCTATTGTAAAAACAAGCAGTCTTATCCATAATCACATATCATCTGAGCTTTTACTTGATACTTTTTATCCAAAATCGTCTATTATTAGAGATTTCTCTTAATAGTGTAGTAAACCACCTTTTCTAAAGCTAAAAAAAGAGCAGCGTATTATTATTATTAATGAACCTTTTGCTTACTTTCCTCGGATATTTGATTCATTTACAACTCATTTACATAAAAAAGTATTTTGTGAGACTGATGGCATAAATAGCATTTTAGTACAACAAAAGTGACAAATGGCATGAAGCCAAAAGAACAATGATGAAGGCAGATGCACAAAAAAGAAGGAAAAAGAAATGCGCAAAAATGACATATAACCCTTTTTTATAAAATGCAGGCTGGCTTTTTATTTATATCTCTCTTTCTCTTTCTCTCTTTTCCTTTTCTTTCTTTACTTAAATCATATAGTTCATCACACACACACACACATAATGACACCATCAAACCCATTTGTTCATAACTTAGTAATAGACAGTATGCTATTTAATCTATTTGATACTGAAGACGCACCTGTTGCTTCACATGCTGCAGCCACCAACACAAATAATACAAACACTAAAGCTAAAAACCAAACCTCGAAAAGAAGCCAAGTGAAGAATGCATGTGGTAGGCTTATAGTTTTGTTATTAATACGTAACTGATGTATATTTAGTAAATTGTCAAAAGGCGTGCAAGAAATGTGATGATGGAAGACCTTGTCAGCGCTGCATCAAGCTTGGGTTGACAGATACATGCGTGAATTCACCTAGAAAAGAACGAAAAAAGGGATTGAAGCGTGGCCCTTACAGAAAGAGAGGTATGTGTGCGTGTCTTTGATATCTTACAGATTCATAACCACAACCTTCTAAATCAGTCAGAAAAGATTACGAAACATCACCTGCAATCAATAAAGAACAGGTTACCAACCAACAACCCCCTTACGACTACATGGCTATGTTCCTAAACTTTCCTATTACTGAAACCCCTTCAGAGATGGCTTATGTAAACTGTTTCAGCAACAATAACGAAAAGAATGATGTCAATGTCATGGTGTCTAATACAGCAGTAGCAAAAGAACAACGAAATAAAAATACTATACTGAATAGTACGTCATCGCCAAGCTCATCCCCAAAATCACTTGATAGTTTCCAAGACGACGACGACAACAACAACAACAGCAAGGTTACAATACCACATGTTCATCCAAGCAACCATTTATCTTTGTGTGACAATGCGCTGTTCTCCTTACCAAAAACAGAAGGCATGTCTATTTCTAGTAGCCATCTTGGAACTGACACATTTTCATGTTTAAGCCCTAACGAACTCATTGATCAATGGCTAAAGTCTACAGATGGTCAAGAACTTTTTGCTTAGGTTGCGCGTATTCATGACACATCATAATGTACACCTTCCCTTTTTAGGCATTTACTATCCGGCAATAAACTCTCCACTCCACTGCTCTCTTTCTTATGTCCATAAAGCATATGGACCACTCTAAAGATTTCAATTATCATTATTCGAATTGACAGATGCAACAATCAAAGTATCTAGACATTCATCTTCCGCAAAAGAATTTCCCCATTCTTTAAAAAGCAAAGATACGTTTTTTATAAGTGAGCATATACCTCTGAGTCCCTCCGCATCCCTGCAGAAAAAACTATGTCAAAGAGAGAGAAAGAAAAGACAAAGGGCCCGTTTTTATATAAAGTGAATATATCTGCTGATCTACAGATATAAAGATTGGAAAACACTATTTGTTCTCCGATTCAAGAAAAGAAAAGAAGAAGCCCTCGGTCTTTTTCTTTTTCTTTGTTCTTGTATATTTTCGATTATAAAAGATGCCGAAATATATAGGTGCTATCGACCAAGGAACAACATCAACCAGATTTATAATTTTCGACGAGAAAGGAAAGCATATTACCTCTCAGCATCATGAGTTTGAGCAAATATATCCTCGACCAGGGTAACGGGGTGTTGACAGTTTGGGCGCCTATTTTATATTAATCCTTTTCTTTTAGTTGGGTTGAACATGATCCATATGATCTATTGGATTCAGTCATTCGATGTGCAGATGGAGCTATCAGGAAGTTTGGTCTCATGGGATACAATATGTCAGATTTAAAAGGTAAGAAAGAATGGGCTTTATGATATTAAAAAGGATCACTGAAACATGTGAAAAAAAAGCCGTTGGTATATGTAACCAAAGAGAGACAACACTCGTGTGGGATCGTAAGACGGGAGAACCTCTTTATAATGCAATCGTCTGGAGCGATACTCGAACGGATAGCCTTGTCAAGGAATTATTGAAGAAGCAACAGGATTTGAATGTGCAAGAACTTTGCGGCCTACCCATTCACAATTACTTTTCGGCTGTAAAGTTAAAATGGTTGATTGAACGGGTGCCTAAGGTGAGACAGGCTGTTGAAAAGAGACGTGCTATGTTTGGTACGGTAGATACATGGCTCATTTGGGTAAATAAGAATATAGAAAAAGAAAAAGACAGTAAAGCTTACATAAAAAGAGAATTTGACAGGTGGAATCCAAGGAGGCAAATACATTACCGACGTGACAAATGCAAGTCGTACGATGTTTATGAACTTGAAGACGTGTCAATGGGATCCACGTCTGCTAGAGTAAGTAAGACGGAGGCTTTGGAGTAACATCAGCTAACCCATTAAGTGTAGCTTTTTTGAAATTCCTGATCACATGTTACCAGTGATTGTTTCCTCATCTGAGAATTATGGCACTGTACAATGGGGTCCGCTGGAAGGAATACCTCTCATGGGCTGTCTTGGGGACCAACAGGCAGCTCTTGTAGGTCAAAAGTGCTTTGAGATCGGACAAGCCAAAAATACATATGGAACAGGTGCCTTTTTACTCATGAACGTTGGCAGCGAACCCATCGTCTCAAAACACGGCCTTCTGTCTACAGTTGCCTATCAGTTTGGCCCTAATGGTCAGGTATCTTATGCACTGGAGGGGTCTATTAGTGTCGCTGGCGCCGCTATCAAATGGTTACGTGATAACATCGGCATCATCCAATCGCCTGATGATATAGATACTTTGGCAGCCAAAGTCAAATCAACGGGTGGCGTCTTCTTTGTCACTGCTTTCTCAGGTCTGTTTGCGCCCTATTGGCGTGGTGATGCTCGTGGAACACTGGTGGGTTTGACGCAATACACAAACAAGTATCACTTGGCACGAGCAACCCTGGAGGCTGTCTGTTTCTCTACTCGTGCTATATTAGAAGCAATGAATATAGATCGAAGTGTTGCATTGAAGACGCTCAAAGCGGACGGTGGTATGTCTAACTCAGATCAATGTATGCAGATTCAGGCAGACGTCTTAGGTATTCCTGTATGTCGCTCAGCCTTGCGAGACACGAGTGCATTGGGCGCTGCATTTGCCGCTGGTTTGGCTGCTGGTATCTGGAACACTATCGACGACATTAAGCTGAGCTTATCGGAAAAGGAAGACGTGTTTTATCCTCAATGGAATGACGAAGGTAATAAGATTAAAAGAGAGTGTACTTAAATAACACATATAAATATAGGTCGAAAAAGAAAATGTCATCAATGGCAACAAGCTGTTCAACGAAGTCTTGGCTGGACAGAGGTTTACACTCCAGAAGATCACTTGTAACATAACACACATATATAGCATCCTTTTGCATTTAATAAATCTGATCTACTTTACGTCTAAATTGGTCTTCCGATAAAAAATTTACTTTTTTTTTCCTCTATTCTTTAAACATGTCTGATGAAGAGGGTTTCGCTGGCGATCTATTTGGCGTAAGTTGGGCAAACAGTCAATCATAGCAAATAAGGCTAAATTGTTTCCAAGGCAGAAAGCGATCAGGACATTGTAGAGGTTGAACCGACATTTGAAATATATACTAGAGACAATGTACCAGAAGGTACACACATATATATATATGCCTCACTTTAAATGATCTCATTTCAACATTTATATTAGATTCATATAGACAAGTCAAGATCAAGTTGGTCGGTTCTCATCCACTCTGGGCTCATCATTTATGGAACGCTTCTAAAGTATTTGCTTCACTCTTTGACACACACCCACGTCTGGTGAAAGATAGATATGTTTTAGAATTAGGAGCTGGAGGAGCGCTACCAAGTCTGATAGCATCGTTAAATGGAGCTGCCAAGGTGGTAGTGACAGACTATCCAGATAAAGAACTGATTGATAATATACAATACAACGTCGATCAGATGCCAGAACCAGTAAAGAACCATATCAATGTCGAAGGGTACATTTGGGGCAGCAACACGGATAAACTGAAAAGTTACTTACCTGATCGATCAACCTATGATGTAATCATTTTGAGTGATCTTGTCTTTAATCATTCACAACATCATGCAATGCTCAAGACATGTAGAGAGTTATTGACACCCAAGACGGGCCGTGTGTATGTGTTTTATACGCATCATCGACCTCATTTGGCACATCGTGATCTAGAATTCTTTCAGATTGCTACAAGACCCTTCAAGGAAGATGAGGATGATAGAGAGCTAATGGGTTATGGATTTAAAGCAGATCATTTTATGATTGAAAAGATGGGTGTTATGTTTAAGGAGGACCCTGGAGATGAAGAAGTACGTGCGACTGTTCATGGTTGGCAATTGTGGCTAGAATAGATTTAAAAATAAAATATAAAATGCCAAGAATAAAAAAAAATAAAGCTATTTTTACCTTCCCCCGGAAAGCTCACCGGCATGATGTGAGTCTATATCAGCCAATGAGAATACTCAGTCTAAAGAAACAAGAGCTCATGTGTTAATCATAGTGATGAAGCATCATCAATATTAAAAAATGGATGCCAAGATGAAAAGTGACAACGACGTCATCATTATTACGAATGTCTCTTTCTCTCTCTTTCTTTCTTTCTTTCTTCTTTTTCAACTAGTGAGAATGAAGGATCTTCGTACTATTTTTGTAATGTGACACAGTAAGGAACAATAGTTGCTAAATAAAGCTATTAATGCACTTTTATATTCTTTGTGTCCCTGTTTGTGTGGATACAAAATTAGCTCATATTTTTCCTATTTTAAAAGGACTAATTTAGTCTTCTCCCTTTTCGTTCCTTTTCTTTCTTTTATTTTATTTTAAAAAACAAACAATGGGAAATCATCAATCAAAACATAAATATAAGAGTAGACAAATAAACAAAGGTGGCGCTGTATTTAATCCACCTACAAGTAAATTCTCTGACGAGTACAAGCAAGGTTCTCAACCACATCCTCACTACTCACAACAACAACAACAACAATATCAACAAGAACAACGAACAAAAGCATATCAACAAGAAAGATACTATCATCAACAAAACAAGGAAGAGGGAGTAATTGAAGAAGTAGAACAAACACAAAAGGGTCCCATCGCACTTGATATCGATGCATGTATCCAAAAGTTATTACAGGTGGGTTCAAATAAGAACAGACCGATTGGTAAATCAGTGTGTTTAAATCAAAATGAAATAATCGCCATTTGTCGATATGCATATGATGTATTCATGAGTCAGCCTGTGAGTATTATTTAGATGACGTTTTGTGTATCGAAGCTGATTCCCCCTTCTTTTTAGACTTTATTAGAACTGAGTCCAGGTGTAAAAGTGGCAGGAGACGTAAGTGTCTATCATAGAAAAAGAAAAGAGGGGCAATAGCTTATAAACAATAGATAGATTCACGGCCAATACTTTGATTTGATTCGATTATTTGATCTCTGTGGATTTCCGCCTACTTCCAACTATCTATTCTTGGGTGATTATGTTGATAGAGGAATGTATAGTCTAGAAACCATTTTATTGCTACTTTGCTTTAAAGTCAAATACCCTGAAAACTTTTTCTTGTTGCGTGGAAATCATGAATCCGCTGATGTCACACGAAGTATGTAAGAGCACTTGTGTGGTTTAATCAAAATTAACGCATGCATTAGTTTATGGCTTTTATGATGAATGCAAACGAAGGACGAGTGTAAAGATTTGGAAGATATTCTGTGATGTGTTTAATACGATGCCTATTGCAGCCATTGTCGGTAACAGAATATTCTGTGTCCATGGTGGATTATCTCCTTTTATGCAATCGATGGATCAAATCGCTTCACTGCCCAGACCGACAGAGGTACCTGAATACGGATTACTAAATGATTTGCTTTGGTCTGATCCAAGTGATGCATCGCCTGATTGGAGTGAGAATGATCGTGGTGTGTCTGTTTGCTTTGGAAAAAAGAATGTTAATGATTTCTTAAAGAGGTTTGACCTTGATCTCATTTGTCGAGCTCATATGGTAAGTTCTAATGTGTGTCTGTTGATAAAGTTATACTCATAGCTTCAAAGGTGGTAGAGGATGGTTATGAGTTCTTTAATGATCGTACACTTGTCACCGTCTTTAGTGCGCCTAATTACTGTGGTGAATTTGATAACTATGGAGCGATCATGACAATATCCAATGATTTACTCTGTAGCTTTGAGCTATTGGCACCAGAAGATAAATTAAATAACAAAAGGGTAGAAAAGAATAGGTAAAAAAAATGGAACAGAGTTTATACATCATTTGCTCATACTAATACGGTCATTTAGTTCTACCTTTCAATTAACTTGATGTAAATATTATTCGACATGAAGTATGCAAGAACTTTTGGTCATCTACTTTTATAATAAATAAACAAATATGTACAGAAATCAAACACACATGTATATACTTGCCTTGTATCTAGTCTTTAATATCTCTACCAAGTACGCTCTTTGATACTCTGCTTGCTTATTAAAGTATAACCTCAGGTCAATCATTGGGTTCCAGTAGGTTTCGAATTTGGGCTGTAGATTGGATTTGGAAATGTTGTGTTGAATGATGATCATACTCTGTAACTTGGATAAGCTCTTGATGATCTCTGTCAAATGTTTAACTGGATAAAAAGATGAGTAAATGTATAAAAAATGATGACATTGCTATTACTTTCACTTGACATCCAATTGATTTCTGCTGCTATGCTTGGAAGGTCTTCAATGATAACGAGTGATTGTTCACGTGCAGTGGCTGCTAATAATGCGCCAAGATTTTCAAGTGATAAAGATAATTCACGAATTGAGAACACCTGAGTGAACTCGATCTGAGAGAGGACAGCCGTTTGAATATTGTGCTTCTGTAAGATGTCGTGCATTCGTTTGGGAGCAAAGGATCCTGTAGATCCAAAGATATAAACGCTTGGATTCGTGCTGTGTAAAATGTAGGATGCTAATAGGTTGGATATAAACTATGTGTGTGTGTGTATACAGCATGAGAGTGTTTTCTTTTCAAAGCAACAATATTACTCACTTCAGTTTTGCCTGTATTGGCCTTGCCACATAATTCAATCACATTCTTGAAGCGTAGTCCACCGCCAAGCGCATGATCAAGTGATGAAAAACCTGTAGATAAACATGTGTGTTCTATTATACTTGACTTGTCCATTTCCTGTGCTACAGTTATATCAAGCATGATTTGACGGACAAATGCTCTCATCCACTATTTCTATTCAGCATACATTCTTTTTTATTCTTTTACTTTACCCATCGAGGGATATTGGTTATTGAGCATAAATTGGATAAATCCTCTTGCAGTAGTGCGCTGTCTATACAAAATGTTATTTCGTCGTTCCACGGGCAGGCTTTGAATCTGTAACCTGAAGTAATATCGTTCGCTAATAAAGCTTCCAGCACAGGCTGATAAAGCTTGCTTTGATCAGCATTCCACCGTTGACAGATTATTCTCAACTTTGTCATTATTTAAAATAAAAAATAAACAAAATGCATAACTTTTTCTTTTTTTATTTATTTAATGTCTGTTGATTTGGATTGGCAAAAACTTGACAAGGAATTAGCCGAATACGTCAAAGAGTTTTTGAATAAACACTTTCAAACAATTACAAAGCCTTCATTTATTGGCGACATTCAAGTTACTGCGTTTGATTGGGGCCATGATGCTCCTCAAATAGAAATCGTCAACATCACTGACCCATTTCCTGAATTTTACGAACAAGAAGAACAAGAACAAGAACTGATTGCTTCTTCACCAATTATAGAACAAAGCCAACCATCTCCATCAACTGATTACTTTTCAAATTACCAACCTCCTCGACTGATACACACTCCCTTGCTTCATCAACAACGTCTCCACCTCTTTCATCGATCACCTCTTGTTGCCCCACAACACCCATTCAATATGAACAATAGTTATCTCATGACACACGCATCTCCAGAACCAACGACATCTAGCAGTTGGCCGTCTCGACCGTCGTCCTTACTGGATGAGGACTGGATAGATGATGAAGAGATCAATCATGTACCTGATACCTCGATCCATACCAATAATAACTCTGCAGGGAACACTAAATCAACGGAGATGGACTTTCAGGTGCATGTGTTGATATCTTACAAAGGTGATATGAGCATGACTTTGATGACAGAGCTAAGGATGAATTATCCAAGTGTGATGTTTATGAGTCTACCTATTCAACTATGCGTAAGGTCTGTCGAATTTGAGGCTACGGCCGTGGTTGCCTATATTCAAAGTATGAAGCGTGTGTGTGTTTCGATGCTGGAAGAAGAGGAACAGTCCGGTCGAGGGAAAGATGGTATTGACAGGTAAGCGAACACAGACAGGGTATAGCTTTTGTTTATAAAAATACTTTAGCTTGCTTCGAGATGTACATATTGAATCTGTCGTGGGTGATGAACAAAAGCAAGGTAATAACATAAATGACATATTCCTTTCTCTCTCTAACTCTCACTTTTTGGAAAAAAGCATTGAAAAATGTTGGCAAGATTGAAAAGTTTATTGTAGATCAATTAAGAAAGATGCTGGACGATGAACTCGTGTTTCCAAGTTATCAATTAATTGAATTAAACTGATTTTATTGGGATAAGCCAGTGTGTCGCAGTAAGGCGGTTATATCCACAGTTGTTCTTCCTCTAAATTGATTCCAGACCTCTTTGGGTGATGTACCCCCACCTAATGCAAGAATGGTATTACGGTAATGTTGTCCGATGGATCTAACACCTTTCTGCCCATGCTTTGCCTTGGCTTCTTCAAAGGCAGCATAAGCATCCGCGGAATAAGTCTCGGACCACTTGTAGCTATGCATCTATTTAGTTTCTCGTTCCTAGTTTTCTTTTTCTCTGTTTTACCTATAGTAACCAGCACTGTATCCGCCGCCAAAGATGTGGTTAAAGCTACACAAGAATCTGTCTTCCTCCAATCGAGGTATAAGTACAGTCTGCTGAGCAATTTCAGCGTCCTGGTCAAAAACAGTAGGATCATCAGATGAGACAGGTGGTGTGAAGCGAGAGTGCAGAGCTAGATCGACCTTTGAAAAATGAAGCTGTCTCAAGGTAGCAAGCCCAGTCATAAACTTCTTGCTCTTGACGAGTGCATCAACCATGTCCTTTGGCATAGGCTCGCCTGTCTTGTGATGTCCCGCCAATCGATCGATCCATTCGGGCTCACTACAAAAGTTTTCCATGAACTGGGAAGCGACCTCGACAAAGTCCCATTCGATACCATTGATACCAGAGGCAGGTGCATAGTCTACAGTTGTCATCATGTGTTGCAAACAATGACCAAATTCATGAAACAATGTTTCTACATCACGGAATTTCATTAAGGAGGGCTCTTGATCTGACTGTGGAGGAGGTTGATTACAGATGAGGTAGGCGACGGGTAACGTGACGTTTCCATCATGCTGCTTGAATCGCGTCGTAACAATGTCCATCCAGGCGCCACTACGTTTTTCAGAGGGTCTGGAATAAAAGTCTCCGTAAAAATAGGCAACTGTCTTTCCCTTTTCAGCCACTTCAAACACCTTGACGTCGTCGTGCCAGCGAGTGATGTTTCTTTGTTTGAGTTCCTGGGGATCCAATTCGCGTACTTGAATATCCAAGACCTCGTTAGCCACGTCAAAGAGACCCTTGAGTACTTTGGGAAATGCAAAGTATTGTGAAATTGTTTCTTCATCATACTTGAAGAGTTTCTTTCTGTACTGTTCCGTAACATAGGCTGTGTCCCATGGCTGAAGAGGAGTGGGATGGCCCAATGCTGATGCAAAATTGGTTAATTCTTCCAATTCCTTCTTGGCATGAGGCAAAGCTGCATTGAACAAGTTATCTAGTAAAGACTCGGCTGAAGAAAGGTTTTGTGCCATCTTGACAGAGAGTGAGAGGTCAGCAGGTGTTTCATATCCCAGTAGCTTTGCTTTTTCTCTCTTTAATTTAAGGATCTCGTTAATGATGGGTTCATTATTGACACTTCCAGAGGATGCCTTTGTGATATTTGCTCTATAAATCTACAAGTTCATTTAGTCGTTATATATATCATAGACAAATGTCTATACCTTTTCACGCAATTCGCGATTTTTACAATTCATCATGAACGGACCATAGATAGGAAAGTCCAAGGTGATGCAGTATCCTTCAAGGCCATGTCGCTCAGCATTCTTTTTCAATGTTTCTAGAAATGCGTCCGAGCATCCAGCCAGTTGATCCTTATCTACAACCACTTCCTTGAATGTCTTGGTAGCATCTAAGACGTTATTCCCAAACGCCAACGAAAGCTGGGACAATCGTTCGGATATTTCATTAAATCGCTTCTTTTCTGGAGAGTCTGGAGGAAATCCAATACCTGCATGTTTCATGTCGCGTAATGCGTGTTCAACAATACGCTGCTGCACCTTATCCAGTTTCTGCCACTGTTCGGGTGTGTTTCTTAGCTTTTCGAGCGCTTGATACTTGGGAAAAGATTGATTCATCATGAGTCCCAGTTTGACAAACTCTGGCTGTATCTTTTCGAGGGTTGTTCGAATATCATCCGAGTTCTTGACACCGTTCAGGTGAGAAAGAATACCATAGGCTCTAGATATCTCGTCCTCTAGTTCAGTAACTAAAAGCACCTGTTAATTTAATGTAGCTTTTTTTGCAAAATACTTGCGTTTGCCAATAGTGCCTTCCCAAGTAGGTTCAAAGTTCTTTTCTAATTCGATAAACTGCTCCTTAGCTGCTGCAATCAACTTTTGAAAAGCTGGGACGGCAATATCAGGCTTTGTCTGTGTTAACAAGTGTTCAAAGTCTGGAAACAGTTTCCAGTTCAAGAAGGGTGTCTGCTTATAGGAAGCCATGGTAGTTGCATGTCTCTTTGTATTCATAAATACCATTCGATTCCTTTGAAGTTGTTGCAGTGCTGCTGAACTGGGTTGTACTAATGGCTTTATGGCAAGTCTGATATACTTCACACTCGAAATAGAGCGGCATAAGAGTCTATAGTTTGGTACTCTTTTTGGTTGTCTCAATAATCTATACATTCTAGAAAAAGATCTCGAGAAATGGAGGACCACTCAAGTGCAAGCGGTACCAAATGACAGTTTTGCAGAGTGCAAGTCACTTTTTGGTAATTAATCTTAAGTCTCCCCAAAGGAGAGAAAGTACTTGCAGCTAGGATAAAGAGCGAACGTTTAGAACTTGCCTTACTTTATTAGCTTCTTCTTCTTCTACTTTAAACTCTGTTTATGGATATATTAAATTGAACCTAGTATTCTTTATATGCATTGTTTTTATATAAACAAGCTTAGACTTTTTATGACAAAGCAACCACTACGTAATGATCATATAGATTTTCTTTTTATTTCCCTCAAGCACCATCCATGTTGATTATAAAACGTCAAGGGAGGAATTAAAGAAATACAGTTGAGCTTATTAAGTGATTTTCTCAGTGATTTTCTTTATCAATGCTCTCTTCATGAACTGCTCTCTGGATAATATACGTGTATACTAACAAATAATAGAGATTGAGTATAGAAAGAAAAAAAAAATAGATTTGACAAGTATATATACCTTCATAAATGTAACCAAATCAATTCTCTCAGAACTTAAAGCCTTTGCTAAGATATAAACAGTATCTGATATAGCATTATCATCTGCCACCAATTCAAACAATCTATAAATATATACAACAAATAAATGAGACAAAGGAAAGAAGTAATAGCAAATCAACGTACTGGTTTCCTACAACACTTGTCCCACACAGCGTTTCATCTATTTGTACATCAGGCATAGCATTCACTTGTTCTGTGATCTCATCAATTTCTTTTGACCTTGTTTCCAAGACAAGATTATTAAAATTCAATCTTTCTCTAAGATCACATAAAGCTCTATGTTCCTGTTCGATGCTTGCTTCTCCTTCGTTTAATTGCCGATTTTGAATCAGCAGATTGTCAATTTCTCTGGACAGTGAAAGATTGTACTGTTGTAGTCTATCAGTTAGCTTTCTATAAAGAACATCATGAAGGCTTTTGCTGTTTGATGTATAGCCGTCCACTGTGTTATGTCTTACTGGTGGACTGGAAACATGTGGCATGGGCATCGTAGGCAGGGCGGGTAAGGAAGCTGAATTAGAAACTGGAGTTGTTGAGTTTAGGTGCATTGACTATATATGTTTTTTAGTGTCCCTTCACTTTAACAAAAAAAAAAAATGTAAACCTTACCGCTAATCCTTGATTCAAATTGTATAACGCAGTGCTTTCGTTGATCCACGATGATGGATGTTTATGAGGCATATGCTGTCTTTGATGATTAGGTGAAGCGCGGCTCTCTAAAAGTGACTCTTGAAACTGTGGTGATGCTGTCGTTGTTGTGGGAGTAGTCGTAGTAGAAGGAGGAGTTGGCATAGTATTAGGCTTTGTATATACTGGAGGTTCCTGAGCAAATACCTGCTGTAGTATGGCTATGAGCTCTAAAAGATTATGTTTCTATATAAACCATATGAGTCCGTCATGATATATGTATGATAATATATCCTCTTACTTGATCATTTGACCAGCTTGATCTATATTGATGATAGCATAATCCACTCTTATCAACATGTCTGCCTTCTCGGATCAGCATATTGGCTGTTGGTTTAACATATGGAATAGGCGATGTGCTTGGATATTCTTTTGGAACCCAAAAGGCAACAGGAATATTATATGGAATAGAGCGATAAGTGATTGGAATGGTACCATGAAGACATAGTAATAATTGTGTATGTCCATCGTTGGAAGCTTATGAAATAAAAAGACAAAGAAAATGTTAATGTCTACATCAACTAAATATACATTCCAAAAGTTACTATAAGTGTCCATCTTTGGCTTTAATGACACATAGGTCTGAAGTACTGCATCCACGTCATGAAACGTTCGTTCGGGATCTTGGTACTATTTAATAGTCAGTGTCAAGCTTAGTGTCATACTAAAATAGTTCTATACTTGCATGTTGAAGCACTGTGCGTAGCCAGCTTTTAATGTCCATTTTATATAAAGAAAATAGGCTCAAAGAAGGTTCTCTTGCCTAGCCTTATTTTATTTTATTTTATTTTTTTTTGCTCACACACTTTTTTCAGAAATTATTGGAAACACAGTTATTTTCACAGGTGCTTAAATCAGATTGTACACTCTTTGCAAATAGATTTCTCACTTTTACTTGACTTGTATACATTTAAAGCGAAAATGAGTGTACGTTTTATCTACGAAAATGAGAAAGGCGAAGCTGTAGATGAAAGTGGAAATGAGCATTTCGAGGTGAATATTAATACTGAAGCATATCGCGATAAAAAAGATGGAAATAAAGTTCGTATGTACCAGAAACATGGTGATTCTGTCAAAGAACAGCCATTTTTCTTAGTTTATGAAAAAGCCAAGACTCCAGGGCAAGCAGTAAAGCAGCTGGAGGGTCAAAAGGCGTACGGCTTACAAATAGGTTAAAAAGGACAAGGAGAATCCATCAGATATCCTAGAGCTAAGTAATGGAAAAAAAAAAATAAGGTGGGTCGTCCTTCGATTTTGAATGAAGAGCATAAAGGGCGCCTTATCAGCTTTTATGATGGCAACTCATCTGCTGTAGTTGACCAAGCCATGGATAGTCTGAATAGTGAGTTTGCTGGTTAAAGAATACGGTCGTTTATGACTTTATGACAAGTGGATGCAACTTGACTTTTAAAAAAAAGCTCACATGCATTCGATTCAGAGAAACAGCCCTGATAATATTGAGCGAAGATATGAATAGAATGTAAAGAGGTAACTATGTTTCATCAAGTAATGTGACGACTATACATAGCTGACGTACGGACGAAAGAGTACGGTAATAAAGCTGCGTTTTCTATGCTGATAGTATTCAATTCAGTAGCTTTTCTCTTTCTATTGTTCAGAAATTTTATTGTAGTTTTCATAGCTTTTTTGCCCTTCCAAGTAGCCTCAAGAAGAGGAAGAAAGTCGACAGCAATTGTATTCAGAGCTGATGAGAAATCAAGCTTGAGGATTCTTAATATGCGTGTGATGTGATGGTCGACAGAAATATCCATGATGACCAACTCCATACTTAGTCCTGAAAAGTTGCATTATTAAATGCTCATATATACTACAATGTTTTTTGCACCAAAGCTGAGAGCATATCTCCGAGTGTTTTGGGTAGTTTTATTAGACCGGCGTCTAGATATTTGTCATCAGTAACCATGATCTTGCCCTTTTCTACTTCACATGAACCAAGCTCGTCGTCAACAAGCTTGAACAAAATATTCACTTTGCTTCATGTAATCCTTCTATCTTTTCTTTCTATTACTTCTAAGCTTCTGTCTACATTTCAGATACTACCTATGATGTCGTCCAGCAAACCTTTTGAATACGTGACACCACGCTAAACATGACTTTATTTTAGTTTGTTTCTTTTCAAGAAGAAGAAGAGATAAAAAAAACATTGTTATTTATTTATGTTGTCAGTTTGATCAACAAAGATGCAAAAACACGTGTAATTATGATATCGTATTTGTATCAGAATGAACTGGGCAACCCTAGGTTAGGCAGAAATTTTAACAGTGTAAAGTTGTAAAGCGATGCCACATGTAATACCTAGAAGAAGCATCCGCAGTATTAGCTTATTTTCTGGTGCATGTAGCGTTCACCACAATGATAAAGCTCATTAAAGTGCCTGCATGAAACGGAGTTGATCTTTTAGGTAATCTTTGTGACCGGTTATCATCCATCAAGCCACACCTACCAATTCACCACAGGATCTCAATCTTTTTTCATTTACTTTTTGATCAACGAGCAGGAACCTCAAACAATGGCCGACGAAGAGAAAGTTGAAAACACTGTAGAAACCAAGACACAAGTAGAATCTCATGCAAAGCTGACATTATTTGTAAGAGGGCTTCCTTATGATGCCACAAACGAAGATCTGGAACAATTGTTTGGCGAGATTGGTCCTGTTCGAAAGGCGTTTGTTGTTACAGAACGTAAAGAAGATGAACAGCAAAAGGAAGAAGAGAAGAAACCGGTGAAGAACAAAGGATTTGGTTATGTTCACTATGCGATGGAAGAAGACGCTCAGACAGCAATCACAAAACTAAACAATACGAAATTTAAAGGAAGAAAAATAAGAGTTGAGTTTGCCAAACGTAAGTCAGAAACTGCTGCTCATGAAGAAACAAAGAAAAAAGAAGAGGTTCCTGAACAGAAGAAGAAAGTCACATCAGCTCAAGATACTCAATTTGACGTCAATGCCCGTTTGATCGTTCGTAATTTGCCCTGGAAGTATAGAGAAGCTGATTTAAAGAAATTGTTCAGTGCACACGGTAATGTACATGATGTCAAGCTTCCTCGTAAATGGGAAGGGGGCCCCCTTCGTGGATTTGCCTTTGTACAGTTTGAAAAAGTGGATGAAGCCAAAGCAGTAAGTTAGTCCTATAAAAGAAGAAACATAGTCTAACTTTGTGTATGTGTAGGCTATGGATGCATTAAATGCAACTCAACATCATGGTAGAACAATTGCTGTCGATTGGTCTCTTCCTAAGCGCATGTACGAAGAAAGCGAGGCAAAACAGACCGAGACAGAACAGTCAGTTGACAAGGATGTGGAGATGAAAGAGCAAGATAAAGATGATGAAAGTGAAAACCAAGACAGTGAAGAAACTGATTCAGAAATGAAAGATAACGAAGATGACGAAGTCGAAGATGAAAGCGACTCTGATGAAGAAAGCGATGAAGAAGTTGATCAAGACGAAGAAATGGACGTTGAGAGTGAAGAAGAAGGTGAAGCAGACACCGAGGACAGCGAGAATGACGAAGATGAAAGTGAAGAAGAAGATGATGACAGTTCAGATGAAGAGGCAAAAACAAAAACTAAGAAAGAAACAAAGAAGCCAAGTAAGCCTAAAGGCCCAACTCCTGCTGAAGGTCGAACACTGTTTATTCGTAATCTCTTGTTTGAGTCAACTGAAGAAGATTTGAAGCAATTGTAAGTTCATCATAGCTCTATATTTAACAAGAGACTAATTATCTCTCACTAGGTTTCAAGAAAACTGGGGACCAGTTGTGTACGCCAAAATTACAAGAGACCCAGAAACTAAGTTATCGCGTGGAACAGGCTTTGTTTGTATGAAAAAGAAAGAAGATGCTGATAAATGCTTAAAACATGCAGAAGCTCTCCGTAATTTGTCTCAAAAGGATGAAACAAATGACGCAGAAGCAATGAAGGATTTACTCTCTAAGCGTGAAAAGAAGAAGAAAGGACTGATGTTCAAGAGTATCATCACACCCGAATCAACATCAGGCGATGGTGCCAAGTTTACACTCCATGGACGAGTGTTAGATGTCACATTAGCCGTGGATCGTGAACAAGCCAAGCAGATCAAAGACGACAATCTATCGCAAAAAAGAAAGGAAGATAAACGTAATCTCTATCTCATGCGTGAAGGTGTCATCTTTCCTGGAACGCCTGCTGCTGAAACATTAACACCATCAGAATTAACAAAACGTCAAATGTCTTTCTCTAGCAGAAAGAAGCTCGTCAGCAATAATCCATCTTTATATATATCCAAGACTCGTCTTTCGATTCGTAACTTACCTATAAAAGTGGATGACAAGGACCTCAAGGCACTTGGTGTCAGCAGTGTTCAAAAGTTTAAGAATGAAGTAAAGGCTGGTCTTCGCGAAGATCTCTCAAAAGAAGAAAAACAAGAAGGATGGCAATACCTGCCTCGTGTTAAACAAGCAAAGATTGTCCGAAGTAAAGATAGAATAGACACTACAACAAATAAGCTTCGTTCAAAAGGTTATGGCTTTTTGGAGTTTACGACACATGCACACGCACTTGCTTCCCTAAGATACCTGAATAACAATCCAGATGTTTTTAAAGGAAAGAGACTTATCGTAGAATTTTCACTGGAGAACAAAGATGTAGTAGAGAGAAGAGGTAAAAGACCACAAGGTATGACTAAAGATGAGCCTATGATTGGCAAGAAGAGACCAAGAGAAGAGGAAAAGGGTATAGCCGGCAAGCATAAACCTAAAAAGGCTTTTAAAAAGAGAAAATAAAAAAACTTCTTTTATAAAATTGTAAAGTAACCTTGCTTCAGCAGCAATGTAACCTGATGTAACCAGTCTTGCATACATTTTCAGTAACAAATTGACGCCCTGATCTTCTTATTTCAAATGCCGTATTAAACTTGACTGTTGCAACAAGTAATGAATTGCATAAATTGATTTCGTAAAATAAGAAAAAGAGAGAGAGAGCAAGTGAGCAAGATGGGTATATTTATAGTTGTTCCCTCCTTATTTTAAGTTTAACTACTTTTTTACAATAAAAAAAAAAGCTCTCCCTTATTTCCGCCAATCATCCCCGTACTCCTCGATCTCCTAGGATAATCTCCTATTTACTCCCTTTTAGCTTATAGTTTGTAAACAGCCCGTGTAATGAATAATCTTGAGGCTCATCTATCGCTTGCTTTTTATTTCCTTAACTTTTTTTTCCCTTCTTTTATACTTATTAATCTTTACCTAATTCTTATTAAAAGTAAGCTACACTTTATAATCCATATCCTGTTTCATTTAATATAACCATTCAAGATCATGGACCCTCAAGGACAATTCAATGGAGCTATTGTATCTGCAGCACCTGTGTGGACAGTAGTCGTCATTTCCATACTTGCCATTATGTTGATTATATTCATCACTATTTTCGTTCGACGATTCATCAGAAGGGGCCGTATGTCAGAGAGAAACTTTAATAAAAAGCCATCTGTAGAATCATTGGAGACACTGGTGACAGCACATCAGCAAAAGCAGAAGTCAAAGCAGTTGGCAAAAACCGATACTCATGATACCGAGAAACCGACCAGATCATCACCTATGCAAATAACAAACTCCGCCACTCTAGCAAGACCAGAGCCACAAGAAGAAGAACTGGAAGACGGCCCTCCTGAACCACTTCAGGAGATTAAGATCTCGTTGCCACTCCCTCCCCCTTCCACCTCGTTCTTTGCAGACAAAATGGAGCTTGATGGCTCTAACTGTGATCTGTATGATTTGTACGTTCACGGTAAGACAGATGGCATGAAACGTCAGAGCATGCACAGTGCCTTCATATCGATCGACCTAGACTCGCTCTCTAATGCGGCTTCAAACATTCAACGAAAGGCATCCACTATCAGAAAGTCACTTTATCAATCCATTCGAAAGCCAGCTAGTACCAATGGTATAAAATCAGTGCCTGCTCAAAAAATGTTTACGGAAGGAACAAAAGAATATTCACGTCAGTCTATCGTCGCATTCAACAATGAAAGAACGCAAATAGAGATGCCCAAGGCCAGCAAGAGCCCACAGACAGAGGACGCCCAACAGGATGAAGAGCCGACAGCTGCAGCAAAGCGAATCATACGTAGTGCTTCAAAAAAGGCCAAATCCCGTTCTATGGTCATACATCCTGATTTACCTGATGCTGTAGCAACTCCTCCCAAGCAAGATGCGTCTAAATATGCAACCGTTCGGTCCCTTCGCTCTCCTGACGCTAATGAGCATGTGACGATCAGCTCAGGATCAATAAGGCGTTTTATGCGCCAAAATAGTTTATTCCAAGGTGAGGACCTTCCACATGAATCTGATCCCTTACCTGGCACCCTTAGCAAAAACGATCGGAAGCCAGTGGCTAATGCCCTCGATATCTCAAACTGGTGGGAAGGTGGTGAGAGCAGCAATGGGGTTCCTGAAATTCGTACGAATGGCATGAAGAATTCTGAATCATCGTTATCCGTCAGTCAGTATAGAGCCTCTCTTAACGATTCAGTGTTTGCTCTTAACGGTACTGTATCGAAAGGCACAAGTGCTCTCTTCGTGCCAGAGCCTGACAAAAGCAAATCAGACGGAGCTGTCTCACGTAACAACTCTGCAAAACGCGGTACTCTTGGTAGAAACACATTAAAGACACTGACGGTAAACGCTACACAAGGTGTCAATAAATCAATCAGAGGCTTGTTTGATCAATCTTCATCCTTGACCAATATCAACAAAGTATCACCTTGTGATAGTCAAAAAATGGAGATCGATGTTGAACATGGTTTGTCACAACAGCCAGTCGCACCTGTTGAACGTCAGAATAGTAGAAGAAAGAGTTATTCACACAGGCTTGTCCCTGAGTCACCCTCGAAATCACGTCTGACCAACACAAGGCATAGCGTAGATGAATCATCGCAAAAGGTAGAAGCAGACGATATTGTCTTGAAGCAGTCCAGATCGTTTTCATCAAAGCAAGGAGTAGAGCCTGCAGCACAGGGGGTGACGTACCATAAAGAAACGATTCATTCAACACAAATGAACAATACAGATCATGAGGCAGATGTGGCTTATATGCAACAATTAGGAGCAAGCAAGTTCGTCTCTCCTCGGCAAACGCTTTTGACAAAGTCATTATTGGCACAGCAAGCAAAGCGGTCATCATCTACCAGTCGTCCACAAGATGAACCACTCCAGGCACCTGACCCTGTCGTATCTTTCTCGTCTTCTACTGTCCGCACGGTCATTCCGGACGATGAGATGGATCAAATCCAGATACGTCAAAATCCAATGAATCAACAACAGCGTCTCTCGATAGGTATGAACGGCAGTAACAAGGTGTTGGCTTCTTCCTTTGGTGATGAATCATCTTTCCTTGCTGATCGCTTTTCTTCAATGAATACAGAACAAAGTCGTGATCACAGCAGACAAAGCAGTGGAGGCACGAGCGTGACAACAGCTGTCAGGATTAGCGGCGGGTATCCCTCGTCTACATGGAACGGAAGAGCACAAAAGAATGGAGCGTCACGACTCTCTGTCATCCAGACTATGGACACAGAAAAGGAATCTGACATCGTGGAAGATAAAAGAGGATTCTTTAGTACGATGAGAAAAGATAAAAAGAATCGCGGGGTGATTCCATGGATGGCAAGTGAAAAGATGATGACACCAGCTGAAATGGAACGCGACAGATATTTGAATGGAGGCAGATAATTTATCCTTTATTATTTTTATTAAATAAATGTAGCAATCAATTAACATATATCTTACGCTTATTACCTTTCTTTTCGATAAGAATTACCATCATTGATTCATCTGCCTATTGCAAGCAAATATATATAATGGAAGGATATTATTATTTCATGATTTATCTTATGGTCCTTCATGATAGACGGAATAACTCTATTACAATAAAATTTTTATTTGATCGAATGAATTGTAATATTCACCAATTTGAGGCTATCATTACTTTTGATTTTTGTATACACAAAAGGGCTCATCTTTCAAGTGCTAAAAAAAACTTCAACGTTAGGTTACAGGTATCACAAATGTTATGTTTTCTCCGGTAATAAGCAGCGATAATCCGTGTGTTCCCTTTTATATTACAAGTATTATTAAGAATAATACACTCATAAACAAGGTCTTGTCTACTAAATACGATCAAGAGAAAAAAGGAACTGTTCGAATATGGATAGTAATCTTGCTTTATTATATTTGGTTACACAATAGAGAACACTTTCACCAGGAAAATGCACTCAACTTAATTTATTTAAAGACATGAAAGGGCATTCAACTGCACCGCTTTCAGATTGCTCTTTATCAGCTCTATTCTTGGCCAATTGCTTCATCAAGATGCTAGCGTCGTAAAAGGTCTCGAGCTGAATCAAGTATGATTAGATTATAAAATGTATTACAGATTAATATTCATACCTCTTCAATTTCAAATTTGTCATTTACTTTTGCAACAGTAACACCAACAGCTTCCACGACTTCGTTGGAAGCAGGTGCCTCGAGTTTCTTACCGTTGCCAATCTTTACAGATAAATCACCAGTCATTGTTCCCCAGTGACTAAAAAAAGGAAGAGGTCAATGAATGAATATAATAAAGTTAATTTTGCTTACCGCCACTTGAACGCAACTACTGGAGGACCACTATAGACCTGTAATACTTCCCAAGAGAAGGTGCGAAGAGCGCGCTTGAATAGTTTGTGAGACTCGGCAAAGTCCATTTCACTGGCTTTATAAAGTTCAGAATCACCGATGAGCGCGTTGTAAGTACCGATCTATGAATATTTTTATACATTTATATAAATTGTTCACTAGACTATCTTAAATAATACCTCAAGCATTTCATCAATAGTTTGCCACTTTTGTCCATTGACAGAGAATCTGTATTTATTACGGTCAATAGTACGCATTTCATCAGCATTGAGCTTGTAAGACATTTCCTTTTCCCAATTCTATGCAAAAAGAATAAGACAACCTACCATTAGAAATTGTTTTCATTATTTACCTTGACCAGGTTGGAAACAAGCCACTCGAGAGATCCATCAGCATGGTTCATGGTTTTTTCTGTTAAACATGAATAGACTGACCCAACAGAGTGTATATCCATTATTGTTACCTTCTTCAAATGCCTTGTTTACTTTATTGTAATCAGGTACACGGCCATATCTCCATTGATGATCCTTGTCCTTGAGGACAGCATTGGGATCGGTCATAAAGTCAGGAAGAGTCATGTTAATGTAAGAGTAAAAGAAAGGGGGTGGCGAAAAATAAAATATAATCTCGATGATTCCCTTTTTATATAGATTTTTAGCATTGATTTATTGGTTACTAAAAGTAGAACGTAGGCTCATAAATGTAACCATCAATAATGGTTCGATTCTAAAAAGGTTGTACACTCCATAGCTTATTTTGCTCCGTCAAAAGTATAGGCGTAATAATTTTCAATTGACTATTTGAACTTGCTGCAATCTGGAAAGACGAAAAAAGAAAGGATTAAGAGACAGACAAAAAAATTATTAGTGGATAAAAGGAAAAGAGCCTTTGGTTTGACATAGCGATAACAAGAAAAGGTGCGCTCTTTTTGTTATTTATTAGTTTAATCATACCTTTTACTGCATTCATATCGTATTTTCAGAGTGTAAATGTTATTGGTGTGAATATCATTAAGGTTTTTCAAAAAGTGCAGGGTTACAATGGCTTGTTTCGTAAGCTTCCATTGCCATAATAAGCAAACGATCTTTTCAAATAGCTCCTGTTACACCATGTCTGTGCCCATTGAATATCATACAGGGTTTATTTTTTTCAACCTTCTTGTTTCTGTTGCGACATGACACCCTTTTCTCCCTACTATTTATGGCCCATATCTGTGCTTTATTAGGTTGACAAAAACAAGTAACAATGATGCTTTTATATAGGAGTTGGCGTATACTCAGGGTCCCAAAATACCTACCACTGAACTCATCCAAAGCAATATTGAATAGTTATATTTAATAAAGAGAGAACCTTTTTCCAGATATTCAATCTAAAAGGCTTTTCTATGTCTGGTTCAGCCACTTAATCCTTATGAGGGATGTCGCTTGATCGAAGGGCTCAATGTAAAGGCAAAAGCTGTAAAGATGTCATTCATCGTGAGAGAATTTGCTGAAAATCTCTTCCGCCAATGCTCAGTTCCAAAACATATAGTTTTAAACGCAAAACGCGAACTAAAGGACACAAACGATGCATCTGCAGTCCGAGGCTACACATATCCAGAATCAAATATTGAAAGAGATATTAAGGTAATGAGAAATTCTACCTATTTTTTTTTCCTCTGAACGCTTTACAGTATGTACGTTATATATATCTAAAACTCGTTGTTATTTTTATTTTCAATAAGGCAAAGAAATAATAATACAGTGCTAGACACATTATGGAACAAGTGTAAAGATAAGTTGGATGCTTATGAAGTTGAACTGTACACTAAGAAAGTAAAGCATATGCACAAGTAAAGATGGGCATAACTATGTCAATGTACTTACTGACAATATGGCTTTGCCTGTTTTTACTATTTTAGCAAGAACTTGCCACGGAGAGCTTGGGGCTAGCTACCAATGAAATAAAGAAGCTTTCCAACAAACGGCTTTCAACTCCATCACATCTTCTTCTTCTTCACCAGCACTACCGGTCATTAAAAGAAGTCGGATTCCTACAAGAGTAAGTCATTCATTCATTTATTTAATAAATTATAATGGGCCGGTCGACATCCCCAGAGTTATTGTGTTACTGCTATATTTACTGAAAATTAGCCAAGCCAAACTAAACCAAACAAATCAATAAACATGGACAAGTATAAAGAAAATAATATCATTTTCGTGGATGATTCTGATTGTTCCGTTGGAACAAAAATCAAATGACATGCATTAGTACTTCACAAGAAATACCAACAAGGTGAGACATTGACTAATCGAGAAAGAAAGATGATGGTGTAAGTAGAATACAAAACTACAAACAAACGAACCAAAAAAAAAAACTCTTTGTTGATCACATTTATATTTTAGGGCTAGGCTTTCTTCCATACTCGATTTGAGTGATATTTCTGTAGACTCCCAACTATCCCTATTCACAGTCTCTGAAAGAAATCGGCCTACTAAGTATTTTTATAATAAGTATCGTCTTGATCCGAAGCCAATACCTAAGTTATTTGATGGCACTTGGACTATTGTGAGCAATGTAAGTGTTTTAATATCAGCTCAATTAAATACAGGTTATTGGCATTTTTCGTTATTAACTTTTTTTTTAAAAAAAAAATGGTGAGCACTACATGCACCAGAAAATATACCAGAAAATAGGCTAAATTATTGTTCTTACTATAATTACTAAAAGCTATTCTTATTTGATGCTGTAGAGGAATGTAAAATAAAATGGATGTAAGATTATGTAACTCTATAATGATTCGTATCAAATACTTAAATCACTAAGAACATATGTTACGCTTCAACTTTACACAGATATTCTTATCAACCGTGTCTATGGGGGACGAAAGGGTAAATGTCTATATGGATGAACAAGAAGAAGACGTGCTCTTTGACGTGACGCAAGAATAGTCTAGTTTCTCATTCTGAAACGGTATATATCCTTCCTTGTTGGCTTATCCTCTGGTGTATTGACCAAGTGATACAGAATAGAGGTTTTGAGACTCCACCCTATAAACACCCTTTTCTACAGTTGTCTTTAAAGTTAAAATGTAAATCACGCGCTTCATTTTCATTGAACTATTCCCGTACCTTTTTTTTATTTTTATTTTTCTTATTTTTAACTTTTAAAGGTTGGCATGGCAACTAACATTCGGCAGTCAGTCGAGGTTTATACCCCAGGAACGAAGGCCTGGTTTGCAGATGACAGAGAAGCTTGGGTTTCTACAACATGCATCTCGAGTACAGTTACAAGTGATTCAAAAGTTAAGATTGTGTTTGAAAGTGATGCTGACGGAAGTGTAATATAACAACACTAATATTTAATATAAGCGTCGTTCTAATTTTTACTTCAGGAATATGTATTTGAGTCTACTTTGGCAGAGCTGGAAAAGACAGGAGGATCGAGCTTACCACCGCTTCGTAACCCTCCAAAGATGGAGTATACAGACGACTTGACAAACCTGAGTTATTTAAATGAACCAGCTGGTAATACAAAAACAAAACAAAACTAAAAAATGACATTTGTTAAACATCCATGTACCTTTCCAGTCTTGAATACAATCCGGACTCGATATATGCAAAGGTTGATCTACACATACTCTGGTATTGTCCTGATTGCAGTAAATCCATTCGACAGGGTTGCCCTTTATGATCCGGATATTGTACAACAGTATTCTGGAAGGAGACGAGGTGAACTCGAGCCACATTTGTTTGCTATTGCCGAAGATGCCTATCGTTGCATGATACGTGAACAAATGAACCAAACGATTGTTGTATCGGGTGAAAGTGGTGCTGGTAAAACTGTGAGTGCTAAATACATCATGCGCTACTTTGCCACTGCAGATGATCAAGAAAGTATGGGTAAGAAACAAAAGTCCGGCGGAGGAATGACAGAAGTAGAAGAACAGATATTGGGTAAGTCAGGATATAATCACATGTGTGTCAAGAGGCTAAGTTTGATCTCTCTGCAGCTACCAACCCTATTATGGAAGCATTCGGTAATGCCAAAACAACACGAAATGACAACTCGTCTCGATTTGGTAAATACATCGAGATTCAGTTTGATGATGCTGCCAATATTGTGGGGGCAAAGATTAGGACGTATTTACTAGAGCGTTCACGTCTTATTTATCAACCTGAGACAGAAAGAAATTATCATATTTTTTATCAGGTAAACAAAAAAAGGAGGTGAATATATGTTTATAACTCATATGTGTACATATGTAGCTTTGTGCAGGTATACCATTGTCAGAGAAAAAAGAGTTTGAACTGGGCGATTATACTCAATTTCACTACTTGAACCAAAGTGGAACTGGTGTGATACCCGGTGTAGATGATGCTGCTGAATTTGAAACAACTCAAAGAGCGCTATCTACGATTGGTTTATCAGTACAGCTACAGTGGAAGATATTTAGATTGTTGGCAGCTTTACTTCATATCGGTAACATTAAAATCACTGGACGTGGTGATGCTATGCTGGCAGAGGATGATCCTGCCTTGTTAACCGCCACTCGCTTATTGGGTATCAAAACCGCTGATTTTCGAAAATGGATCGTACGTAAACAGATCATCACTCGTTCTGAAAAGATCGTAACCAACCTAAGCCCTGCACAAGCCCATGTCGTGAAGGACTCTGTAGCTAAATATGTTTATGCAAATCTATTTGAATGGCTTGTTTCTGTTACAAACGAAAGTCTTTCCTGCTCAGATTCTAGCAAAGTTGCAAACTTTATTGGTGTCTTGGATATCTACGGCTTTGAACACTTCAAGAAGAACTCGTTTGAACAGTTCTGTATCAATTATGCTAATGAAAAGCTTCAGCAGCAGTTCAATCAACACGTCTTTAAGCTGGAACAAGAAGAGTATGTAAGGGAAAAGATCAACTGGACCTTTATTGAATTTAGCGACAATCAAAAATGTATTGAGCTGATTGAAGGAAAATTGGGTATTTTATCACTTTTGGATGAGGTAATGGGTAGTATATAGTCATACCCTTGTTTACAAACCATTTGTATGCATCTAGGAATCTCGTTTACCTTCAGGCTCAGATCAGGGATTTGTTCAAAAATTGTATACCAATTTTGATAGTCCTAACTACAAGACTTACTTCAAAAAACCTCGATTCTCTAACAGCGCTTTCACGATTGCGCATTATGCATTGGATGTTCAATATGAAGCTGAAAATTTTATTGACAAAAACAAGGACACAGTACCTGATGAGCATTTGGCCCTTTTACAAAATGCTGAGTTTGACTTTTTGAACGACGTCTTGGAAAAGGCAGCAGCTAATAATGCAGTCCCTCCGGTGAGTAGGATCTACGTATTCAAGCAACTATAGATCTCATCATTTATTTATATATTTAGCCTGAAAACAATAAGCGTATGAGCATGGTTGTTAGAAAACCAACGCTTGGATCTATTTTTAAAGCATCCTTGATCAATTTAATGGACACTATCGGAGGCACCAATGTTCATTATATTCGTTGTATTAAACCAAACGAAGCCAAGGTAGCATGGGAATTTGATCCAAATATGGTACTTTCTCAGCTTCGAGCATGTGGTGTACTGGAAACTATCCGTATCAGTTGTGCTGGTTATCCTTCCCGTTGGACCTTTGAAGAATTTGCAGATCGGTACTATGCCCTTGTTTCATCGAAGCATTGGGATCCCAAGGTCACCAAGCCAGATATTCGTCAGCTATGCTCAGTTATTTTGGAAGCATCTATTAAGGATGAGGACAAATACCAAGTAGGAACAACAAAGATCTTCTTCCGTGCTGGACAATTGGCTTATCTGGAAAAACTAAGAGCAGATCGCTTCAACGAATGCGCTATCATTTTGCAAAAGCATATGAAGAGATATATTTATCACATGCGTTACATTCGTATGAAGGAATTGACTATTCGGATTCAATGTGTTGCACGTCGTAAGGTGGCCTCAGCTAAAATACAACAACTTCGAGAAGAAAAGGCAGCGATCACCATTCAGAAAAATTGGAAAAGATACATCGCTCGAAAGCAATACTTTTCTAAGAAAATATTTGTTCTTAAGCTTCAAACCGGTAAGATGTTAGATTGTGTTACCTTCCAACTTTGACTTGTTTAATTCATACATTTATTTTCCTTTTATTGTAGCTTGCAGAACTAAATTGGCAAGACGCAACTTCCAATCTCTGCGAGAGAACCACGCTGCCATTCAAATTCAAAAACTTGTTAGAGGCTGGTGAGTTACGTGATAACTATATAAAACTCTCCTGTCTTATATTTCTTTTTTTCGTAACATAGGTTTGCCAGAAGGAAGTATAAGGCTCAAAGAGAATTTATCATTCATTTCCAATCCATCATTCGTCGCAATATTGCTCGTAAACAATTATTAGGCCTCCGCGCTGAAGCAAGATCAGTCAGTCACTTTAAGGAAGTATCATATGCTCTTGAAAACAAGGTCGTTGAATTGACACAGACACTGAGAACAGTTCAGCATGAGAATAAGGTAATGAATGACCGCGCTGTTCAGCTTGAAGCACAGATCAGAACTTGGACAGATAAATATGAGAAAATGGAGCGCAAAGCCAAGAATTTAGAAGAAGAGCTTCAAAAGCCAACTGTTCCCAAGGAAACTCACGATACACTTCAATCTGAGTTTAACAGTCTTCATCATGAGCATCGCCAAGCGCTAGAAAAGATCAAGAACCAAGACCGCGAACTGAATGCTGTTAAATCTCAGCTTGAAAGCGAGAAGACAGAAAATGAGAAACTTCGCAAGTCGCTAGAGGAGGCTGATGAACGGGCCAAGAACGTGACAGACGAAGCTGAAGTAGCCGAGCTTCGTAGCCAAATTGCTGCATTAAAGGCACAATTATCACAAGCACTCAATACTTCTCGTCGTCAAGGATCATCGACTGCTCTACGTGCTGTTTCACCTGCTCCCGGTATGCGTAACGCTTCTCCTGCACCTTATTTGTCAGTAGATTCCGAGTCTGCTGGAATGCGACAGAGAAGCAAATCACCTGCTGGCGTCTATGCAAATGTATCTCATCCTGTTGCTTCCGCTACAACCAATTCTCCTCCTACACCAGCAATGAGAAGACCACGCAGAAACAGCTCTGCGGATATGCTAAACAGCAGGCTAAAAAATTCCCTTGAAACGATTCGTCAGAATGAAAAACATCCTCGACCTACGTCCATTGATAACATTGGATCTATTGCAGGCATGAAAGCCGGTGGACTCTCTGGCGCCATCGATGAAAGCCCAGAAGAAGAAATACATGCCTTGTTACGTAGTGAGGATAGCTTACAGGAAGAAATTCTTCAAGGTCTCATTCGGTCTGTTAAGATGCCTTTACCTACTTTACAAAACCCTCCTTCCAAGAAAGAAATATTATTCCCCGCTCATACAATCAGTCTATGTGTAAGCGAAATGTGGCGATTGGGATACATTCAGCAATCAGAGAGACTTTTGTTTGATGTTATGGACACAATACAAAAGCAATTCATGGTATATATTAAAATATGTTGATTACTAACATACTTATCCTTTTTCTTTAATAGAGCTTTACTGATGAAGATGCAGTCGTTCCTTGCACATTCTGGCTAACCAATGTTCATGAGCTATTGTCATTGATTTGCATTGCACATCAAGAAATTGAACAAGGATTTTACCATGATAAGCGTAAAGCAGCAAACAGAAATGATTTCAATAAGTTAGTGGAAACAGTCAAGTTCGAAATTCAATGCTTAGAGGATAATATCTACCATGCCTGGATGAAGGAGATCAAGAAGCATCTTAGCAAAATGGTTATTCCAGCAGTAGTTGAAGGACAATCCCTGCCTGGGTTCATTACAAGTGACTCTGGTAGATTCTTCAACAAATTATTAACCGGTTCATCTCAGCCGATGTATTCAATGGACGATCTGCTCAATTTCATGAACAAGATATGGCGTGCCATGAAATGCTATTATATTGAGCAATCTGTAGCTGCACAAGCATTGACAGAATTATTAAAGCTTATTGGTGTAACAGCATTCAACGATTTATTGATGAGAAAAAACTTTTGCTCATGGAAGAGAGGTAAGCAAGATATATTGTGCATGCAACGCACCTGACCATTCAAATTTATTAGCTATGCAAATTCAATACAATATTACGCGTATTGAAGAATGGTGCAAGAGCCACGATATTCCTGAAGGTGCTCTTCAACTAGAACACTTGATGCAAACCACCAAGTTACTCCAATTCAAAAAAGCAACTTTGGAAGATATTGAAAATATCTATGAAGTTTGTTGGATATTGACACCTACTCAGATACAGAAGCTCATTTCACAGTATCATATTGCTGATTATGAGAATCCTATCAAGCCAGAGATACTTCGGGCCGTGGCTGCTCATGTTACAGGAGATAAGAGCGATGCGTTATTATTGGATGCCGTATCGATCGAAAATACGTCAAATCCATTTGAAATACCTGGACCACGAGATACAAAGCCTGAGGTCTACTTACCTTCTTGGGTAAATATATAAAGTAATGCTTTTAAAAAACCTGTCATCTTTAACTCTTTAATCTACATATAGCTAAATTTGAAACGACTTCGCCGATTAGTTACACTTATTCAACAGACAGAAGAAACTGCTCAATAAGAATATCACGTCTTTTATTCCCTTTTATTAATAAATTATATACATATAAGCGATTATTTAATAGTTATGGCCCTTTTATTTGCTCAATATATATTACCTTACCAAGCAAAAGCATGTAAAATGCAAGCTCTCTTTCCTAATTCACTTATCTGTTTCTATATGTTGAACAAACCAAAGAAAGGAAGAGGGATTCCGATTAAATGATTGTGGATTTAATGATTTTTTCCACGATCAACGCACTGAAGTGGTAAAGTCATACTGATATCTTTGATGCATTCTTTTCTTTTCCTTTACCAAAATGTTGATTTTAGTAGACAGTGGCTATTCTAATTCAATCATTTCATTTAAAAGAAAAAGGTATTTTTGTAAACTGATTTCAATTTTGATGTATCTCATAATCGTAGTTTCTATTTTTATCTGAGACAACGCTTGATTTCTGTTGTGCTTACAAGTAAAACATCCATGGCAAAATTAATTGTAAAATCGACAAAGCAAATGTTATTACAATAATCTCATTATCAAAATAGAAATAGCGCAAGAAATTCTTCGAGACAGTTTTATTGTCTGAAAAGATGCTAAGACAAAAAGGTAAAATATATATAATGATTGTGAACAAGGAATTGAGGTCAGTCTAAATACTTTTTTTTTTTTTTTTTGTAGCGGATTGATGCATCAGAGATGAGGTGAGAAAAAAAAACATGTCTCAGTTTTCTTTTTGATACAATTACAGTTCTTGATCCTTGTTATTGATAAGACTCTAATAAGAGACAGAGTGAAGACTACATAAATGAACAGTATCTGAGCTACCATGGCTTTGATCAAACCCATATCTATTCTACCCTTGATATCATTTATGCAAAGGCTCTAATACATGAAGATCGTGCCATTCCTTCTTGCGTAAGTCAATCGTATATCATAGATAAACTTTGTTCGGAAAAGTATGCTGTCTTGGCTTTACTACATAATTTATAATATACTATGTTTAACTTACAACAGCTACACTTGATCAACTAAACAACATCATTCGTTACTGCAGTGATAAACTGCTCTGTCATCACATTGTTCCCCTCTAAGGCTTATTGAGTTACTCTTCTACTAGTTTATCTCCTTATAAGGCTTATTTTTATCCGTTTCATGAATTTATGTGTTCATATTCTTTTTCATGGTTATAAAAATCACTTTTCTCATCGTCCAATAAATCACATATTTGATAATGCCTCTCATTTATGATGCATGAGTGCCCATGCCAATAAAGTCATTAAGTGAAGTATTTCACGTACCTTAGGAACCCATCTGTTTCGAGCGCCATTTGAAATAGTTTATGCAGACTTAGAAGATCCATTACTTTACTATAAAAATGAATGCATAGTCATTAAATCTATCACAATCATAACCGTCGCTAATGCTAGCCTACATTTTACAAGCAGGAGGGAAACTGATAAGGATATAACAACAAGGAATAGAGGATAAACATTTTACCCTTTTTTCATGTGCACTAAAAATAAAAACAAAAACATTACAAACTCTTATGTTTTCCTAAGTCAGCAACTCAATCACCTACTTTTCATGCCTGATAAACAGGTTTTGTTACATGAAGGCTAGGACAATTTGATTTTGGTTCTTTTTAGCGAAAAATAATAATTCATTATTACTTTTATGAGACAAGCCAGAATGGCTAATCAAATAGATCAATCACAATTGACTTTCTTTCTTTGATTGACAAATAACAGCTGTAATGGAATCAATTGCATATTTTCCACAGAATCGACAGGCTAGTGCTTTTTGAGAAAAGCCTTATTTTTTTGTTTACTATCAGCTACATTTTTAAAGGATGCCGTCCCCCACAACTTTTTCCCTTGTACATTTAATTCTCGCCTTACTTTTTTTTTTTACCCATTCTTATAGAAAACAGCCAGAAAATAAAAAAACATATATTGAAAATGAGAAAGTGAAGCAATCATAATGAAAAAAAAAAAAAATACATGTGTGTGTGTGAGGTTAGCCTTATGTAAACAAGTGGCCTTACAAAAGAAAAGAGCTCGTGAAAAAATCACGCGAAAAAAAAGGGGGGAGGTGTTCAGATGCTTGGATGTGTTCTAATATGGAAGAGATAGAGGATGAGTTATTTACTTATTCATACACTATTGGAAAAAGGAGGAATGTGTCATTTATTTTCAGCCTAAACAACATGATTCACGTAAACAAAAAACTATAAAAGAGGCTATCATTCTTGTCCCTCTTCCTTTTTTTTTTCTTCATTCTTTATCACTTTTAAATATTCTCCCATGCTTTTATTATTCCTTATATTGAAAAAGGCACAATATCATTTGAGAGCGATCTCAAGGTACATATAACTAATGTCATCGTTTAGAAAATACACTTTTGCTGACTCTATTTCATGGTTTCTTATGCATCTTACTTTATCATAATGACCTCTCACGGGGGGAAGCATTAAAGAAATTTCCGCTACTCGCTAATGCTCAAATGGCTACTCATGCTTGCTACTGTTTATCAATACACTCAAACGATCAAACAATCAAATACTCAAACAAATGCTCAAACACCTACTCATGCTTATCAAATGCTTATCAAGTCTCTAGAAAACCAGTGAACGCCTATTCATGCTATCAATACCTCCAAATGATCATCAGTGCCTGAAAATGCTAGTAAATGCCTGACCCATGCTTATCAACATCGGAAAGTCCCTAGAGAATTTTGCTCATGTCTATCAATGTCTGCTGCTAATGAATACTACTTTGGAGCAACTACATATTCAAGTCCTGAAGCCACAAGAAACGTAATCAATTAACCTAATTTGCCACTATCTGCCAAACTCTATCAAACGCTGTTATAAGAAAAGGAGAAGAAAACAAAAAACTAACCAGACAGGTCGCTGCTTCTCTACGCTGGATCACCCCGAGATGCTCCTATTGTTATGGCTCTGCCTCTACAGCTGATGAATGGCTCGTAAACTCTCCCTTACTGCTGAGCTCGATGGTTGCGACGCTCCAAAGGTTCAATATTCCGATGTCTCCACGGTCATCACTCCTTTCGAAACGCTTTGACCTAGGTACGTAGAAACGCACTCTTTGTACGTTGAAGCACCTCTTTCGTTGAATTTACCGTGGTATGGTTTTGAAATTGGTCTTTGATTTTGAGTCTTGAGTACTTTTTATTCACGGAGGGTTTACACCGTGTAGTCTTCTGGAATGCAGTCTATGGTTCTAGTCATCTTGGGTTTGAAAGCTAGCGATAATGTGGCCTTCTGGACTTATGGAAAGAAAAAAAAGAAAAATCTCTACCTATTCAAAACTTTCTCTCTTTGGAAATCAAACTATTGCTTACTTAAATAAAAACTTCATTTTGTTACTCCCACACTTGACTTGTTGTTCTTTAATATTTAATATGATTACTTTCATATTAATTCGGTGCATCCTCAAGTGCACAGCGTTTACTCAAGAAAAGTGTCTTTTTAATTATAGTTCTTTGGCACACACCCCAAGCCCTATTATGTACCCTCATCAATTTAGTTTTTGTTTTAGATCGGTGTTTCTTTAGCCCTATGAGATCTCATGCTTGCCACTGTCTGTTAGAAACGAAGCTATCCTTTTAGTGACTAATGGAGTACCTGTAACAAGTGACTAGCTGCAAAGCAAGTATGATGAGGGAATCAATATCTTGGGATTGATCGGGTTTAAGGTCTTTGTATAGATGAGTTAGCAGAAGAGCTACATTGACAAAAAGAGAAAAGAGAAAAGGGGAGCAGAGGTGATAATGAAGGAAATAGAGCCATAAATCTGGGATACTTCCAATAAGTAGTTTCTACAGCCATGTTATCAGCGGTGTCACCCTTTTGCAGTGCAGAATAATCAGTTGTAGATAGTACAGATCTTGAATGACTAAGGTTCTTCTGAGTGACGGACAGAAAGCCTTGACATATGCAATGGGCGCGGTGAGGAAGCAGAGGAGCATCGAATCCTACAAAAGAGAAAATTAGGTGTATAAATACATGTCGAATGTACTGTGACTTTTAGTAAACACTTATTTTTATGTAAAACCCTTTTGACATTTCTTGCTCTCTTTTGTTCTAAATTGCAAACAATGAGCAAATCTACTGGTGTTCGCTTACTAGCTAATGGTGTTGCCTCTTGTTCAGCACAGGCTTCAATTTACGGAAAATGTATTGCTGCTAATTATCAAGGTGTCACCAAAGACATGTGTCAAAAGGAATTTCAAGCATTTAAGCAATGTGTTCAACTAGCTGTAAGCTATTAAATTACATGTGCGTGTATGTTTACTAATAGTGCTTGTTTGTAAAAAAGGTAAAGAGGAAATGGTAATTTTTCTATTTATATACGCAAATAAAGAGAAAAAGGAAGAGTAGAGTGTAGTATCATTAAACAACAAAACTATGCGCGTCATAACAAGAAGTCATTGCTTATATTTTGCTTCAATACATTTTACTAAAAGAAAGAAAACAAGAATTAAGTTCAAAGTAATACACGCCTTTAATCAAAATAAAGACTCACAATCAGAAAAAGAAGTATGGCTGGGGGTAGTGTTTATTGTGTACAAGTAAAAAAAGAAAAGAGAGAATATATACATATATAACTTTATGTGGTCAGTAAGTTTGAAAATCGATCTTTCTTGACGACACGAACTCAACGAGGATTCATTTAGCAAAGCTCAAACAAGAGCTTCGATTGAACTTTGACTTTCATAGTGATTCCGCTGAGCAATTTGCCATCGCACATTTGCTTGACTGTCAGTGGTTGACACTTTATAATTTAAGTGCTCCTCAGAAGAAGTGCTAGCCACCATAGTCTTATAGTGCTCCTCCGGAAAGTTATAGGACATTTTAACATACTTGAGATTGTCGCTTACTGAAGGAGCTTTCAAGTATCTTGCCAGAGCACCATAAATTCCAGCTTACTTCTTGTTGAAGATGCAGAGACGTATCATAAACACGGCGCGGAGGCAAAGACCATAAAAGAGACATTGCTCCTGGATTTCAGTTTAGCCAGAAGCAATACCAGCAAATGGGAGTAAGTATTCCCTGGCCATGGTCGATTGAGGCGGCGTCTCATCTGTGCCTTGCTTCTCTTTGTAGTAATTACTGATATAATTGCAGAAGGCATGGAGATGATCTAAGACACATATTATCTTGTCCTTTTCTTTGTCACTTCGCTCTTGTAGGCGTTCGCCAGGTTGATGTACCTAAGTTAGAAAAAGTTAGTATGGACAAAAGTAATAAAGGTCTTATAAATACTTACATAACTGTGAGCGCCTTGTATCGCTCCAGTGTTTACAGTAGCTTCATACTTTAATTCATGGCGTATTTACCCAATAATGCCTAACCGTATGAAATTATTTTAAATCTATACTTTAAGAAAGAAGAATACAAAAAGACTGATCACAAAAGCTTGTTATTTTTATATAGCACGCCATGTTCAATTCTCATTGGCTGTGATTAATTCATACAATAATAACGAGTTCTCGACTTTGATGTTAACAAAGAGGTTATATAGAGACTCATCAGCAATCATTTGTATTCATTCTTTATTATTGTGACTATATCACACTTGGAATTGGTAGTAACATCTTTTTTCAGCGGGTAAGAGTCAGACTTGCTGATGTGCGCTTCATTACGCCCAAAACTTGAGAGCCTGCCATCTCCTTTTGCAAAAACTTGTTTATTGTGTGGCGAGATGAATATAGACTGATAATTTCATCTTCTTCAATTTTCATACCCCTTATTTTACTCTCAGGCGGCTTGGTGGTAGCAGAAATTGACTTGTAAGAGACAGTAGATACGTCGAAGACGGCTTATCTGAAGGAATTTTCTTTCTAGATGCACTAGAAGAAGCGTGTTTGACTCCAGTAAGCAACACTTTATTGATACAAAATGCTTTGGTTTTATAGTCCTTAGGCGCTTCTTTGCACTGAACGAGATTGAAGTCAATTGTATTATGTATTGGTTATTGGATAAACATCCATGGGTAGCAGAACGGGACAGTCAGGAACAGAGTAGATAGCACATTCGCCCTCCACAACCAATAGCGTTTACAAAAAAATTAATCAAATGCCATTAAATCACAGCCATCACTCAACTTCAACCGTTACGCAAGCTCTCAACAGCTGTGTTTCTCAGATATTGGCACCAGGTGTCTAAAATGTTTTAGCATCTTTGCAAGCTCGTTTCCTCACCCCAACATCATTAGAATATCCAAACATTGATATAAGCCATCCATATTCACTTACAAGCTCGTCGATGGTATCAAAAGTTGAAACTGATCCTGCGCTTTGCATTTTGAGCAACGTTGTTTGTTTGATATAGCTCCTGGATCTCTTCGTGTTCATTTTCATAATTCATAATTTCCAAAAGATTAATTCGTTAAGAAAGGCACAGATTCTCACTAATACAAGTCATAAGCTCTCAGCAGGACCACGACTTTACTTTTCAGAAACAGTGTGTACTTGACAGCAGGACTCAGATATTTATTGCCATGAAATCAAATTGCCTATTTTTTTTATTCTTCCGCTCTATTGCTATTGTTGTTGTCATGTTTAAACGATCGAGTTCGAATGTGTTAAATCTATCAAAAAGTAAATCCAAATCAACAAATGACCAATCTTCTCAAGATCGAACACAGCAACAATCAAATCCTTTTGCTGGTAGACGACAGCCGAGCCTTAACATCGTCAGTCAATACAAAAGAAAAGCACCGATGCCATTTACAGTAAATTCCGATGATGATTGGGGCGACTTTCAAGCAAGTAAATTTCAAAAACCAAAAGAAAAAGAAGAGAAGCCAGCATTTATAAAACCGGTCAAGAAGAGACGCCTGTTTGAGCCTTTTGGGCATGACACTAATGCTCGTGCCAAACTATTGATCGACACTGTATTTCGATCAACAGACGAAGCCAACAATGACATGGGCAAAGAAACCTGTCCTTATTGTGGAGATATACTCGAGCCAATGACGAATTCACTAAGACAGTATCTAGAGCAAAAGGAAACTAAGGATAGAGCACACGAACAGGAGCAGCTCGCTCGACTGAAACGAGAAAACGCACAGTCCTCGTTTGGAACGGCTGACTGGATTGTAGAGCAACGCCGTGTGTCAACAACCGATAAGCATGAATTCTGCAAATTACATCATATTGAACTTGTTGTCAAGAAACAAGGCAATGAAAGAGGCTACCCAGAAACAATAGATTTTAAGGGAATAGAGAAACGTATCCTGGGATTCAAATCTCAATTAGACGATGTGATAGATGGCAAGGTAAAAAGTAAATTTAAGGATATTGCCTTGGATGCATACGCTGAATTTGGTCAAAGTAAAGCAAGAAGCGCCGTAAATGTGCTCGTCCGACTTGAAAACTGCGTACCTGGTTATTACGGACCCAGAGGATCTACTACGATCACCGAGGTGCTATCCAAACTATACCTTCAATCCGGCATTCTCACCAAGGAATTGACGCAACCTCAACTGCCACTCGAATACATTCAGCAAGTACTCATGCCTGAAGCAGGTCTTCGGCTCATTCGACAAGACCTATTGAACAAATCCAGACGGGGTCACACTAGTATCTTTGATGCCCCTCCTATTCCTCCCAATTTGACAGAAACTGCAGAAAAGGTCATGGCAGAAAGTCGCGAATATGGAGCTGCAATATTTCCAGAGGCAGAAGATGAAAGTATCACAATAGAAGCTGATGACAGTGATGGCTGTTAATGAGGCCCCTTGTAATATAATCCTATATCTCCATCTCTTTGTAATATAAAATAGTGTGCAAAAAAAGTTGCTTTATTAACAAATCCATCACATTTCTGTTGCTGATGATGATGTATATTTATATTCCAAACGGCTACACTTTCCTTTATCTAATCATTTAATGGTGCTCAACGTTCTTGTGGTGCTCTATAAAATGAATGAGTATATGTGTGTATGTGTGTATGTGTAATGCCTTACTCAAGTGGAAGTGGTAATCAATAGTGTAACCAATAACGAAAACACCAAAGACAAGGTGAAGTAAAGGAGTAACAGAAGCGTTGTCACCGTCAATGTAACGAGCCTTGTAACGTCCCCAAGGACCAGAGGGCTTGGGAGCTTCAACAGTACCCTTAGGTAAGGTCTATCATGACGTTAGACAATGTTTTCAATTAAATTAAATGTTCTAACCTTGTAGAAGCTGACCAAACGAGTGATGGAGGCATCCTTGGAAGCACCAGAAACCTTGGTAGCAGCGGCTACATTAGGAGGAATGAGGGTCTTGGTGGAGTAGGCGCGACGGAAAATGGCGTTCATCTTTTGGTGTCTTTTTGGTAACAGTAAAAAAAAAGAAGCAGCCAAAAAATTCTTTTCAACCATTAAGCACCAGGGGGTTACCGGAGTTTTAATAATTCACGTCATCCAATCGTAGCTTGAATTTTAGGCGCAATGCACAAGCGGACTACATCCTACAAACCGCTTTTAATTGAGAATTTTGGTTTAGGAGCATGATAATACGATGGGAATGATATATCTTAATAGCTAAGGTTAAATTTAGCAAGCTCGATCTTATTCATTACAAGTTCATTTATCTTATTAGTATCCTCTTTGTCACCTGCCTCTAATTCATGCATTTAAATTAATCTCAATAAAAGCATACTTAATATCAACCTTGTGTCGATCATAATAAAAAGGGAAGGCAAGTGACACTATGTCTGAAGGAATTGATATCAAGAGCCCTACCAACAGCAGTAGCTACGGGAACACAAGAGTTACAGCTTGTTATGCAGTCACAACATTACAACTTTTGAATTAGCACAACCCCAAGGACTGTGATAAAAGTTAAGCAATCGACTCAGTGTTCATATCCGTAAACATTAAAAACAAACAAGCAGAAAAAATAAAATGCGAATGGAGCAATGATTTGTAAAAAAAAAA